AATCCGTCGGGCTACGTCAGCGACTTAAGTTCGTTTACGGATCTCCTCATTTCTAACCGACCGTTATTAATAGCAAAAATCTATTGTTAGCGTTGGCCCCGTGTTGGTAAGATCTCGACTACTTATAGACAAGTGTTCAACAATGGGGTCTAGCCTCTATTTGGAGCAATAAGATGAATAGTTGCGGTGATGCAAAAAGGTGTATAGAATGTGCTAGCATGGGAAACATTTTGATAAATATTATAGTCTGTAAATTGGTTCGGTGTTTTTTTACAAGATCGAATCAGAAATGAGGAGATCCGTAAACGAACTAAAGTCGCTGACATAGCCCGACGAATTAGCAAGCTGAAGTGACAATGGGCAGGGCACATAGTACGCAGAACTGACGGCCGATGGAGCAGCAAGGCTCTGGAGTGGAGGCCGCGTACCGGAAAACGCAGCGTGCGACGTCCACTCACAAGGTGGACCCACGACATCATAAAGGTAGAAGGAAAGCCCTGGACGCAGACCGCTACCAACCGGGTAACATGGAAAGCATTGGGGGAGGCCTATGTTCAGCAGTGGACGTCCTATGGCTGAGATGATGATGATGATTATGATGTAAATTGGTTATTAGGCTATTGGCCTTAAAAATACGAGTACAATAATAAATAACACACTCTTTTACACAATAATAAATAACAGATAGAAATGAAATTGATTTATGTTAACCTCCAATTTTGCACTGCCTCCAACATAAAGTACCTATGTCAAAGTGTTCAAGTCTTAAAACAATAGAATTGTGAAAAAATGATTACAAAGAATTTTGTGTCACTGGCTTGTATTGTAACGCAATTATTGCAATGATTGATTTATCAACGCAGCCTGAATAGTATGTGACGTTAATATATACGTCATATTAGGCAGGTTTTAGTTAAATGTGCAGGTGTCGCATATAAATTCGCACTCATCTCATTATAATCTTCATTTAGCGATATACATATTTATTCTTATCAGCTCGTAGTTTCGAAAGCTTCTCTATTTTTGTGCGTTGATTGGCTTTAATCTGGGATATTCCCATATTAAAATATTTTTTGTAATACGATTATTTTTATTTGGGCGACTTATCTCATCCTATCTGGCTTTCCCATGATGATCGTTTATCGCTGACATCAGTTATCAGGTCCTGTTGATGTGAGGTGGGATAACTTGATATTTGTCGTTAAGCCTTAGGGTTTGATAACATCTGACATTAAGACTTGGAGCATCCCACATCAGCCCGCATCATTGAGAATGTATTAGCCTAGGCGCAGACCACCGATTTTTGTCGGCCGATAGTTGGACCCGATTTTAATTTGTATGAAGAATAGGCCCATACCAAATCGGTGTAATGTGCGCACTTTCATACATCTTCATACAGATTAACTGCCCGACTAAACTATCGGTCGACGAAAAATCGGTGGTCTGCGCCTAGGCTTATAGCTGGCAACATCGAAAACTGCAACTTAAAAATTATACAATAGACATTTTAAACTGTCTGTTAAATGCCGAATAAAGTTATTTTCTTTATTATTATAAATAAGCTGTGACCGCGTCATAAACAACGAAAATAAAGTGCCATTAAAATCACTTTTACAGCTCGTAAACAACTTTGTGTGACATTCAAAATATTCCGAAATAAGTACTCTATTCACGTAATATTATTTTGTTACCAAAATATTATAATAATTCACAATAAATTTAATATAAATATTACCTACCCATTTCAATCGCAAATTCAACTAGCAACAATACAACTTGTATGGCTGTCATTCAAATGATGTAATTACCTCTGCGAATACGAAAAGTACGTGACACGCGTATTTATTTCTACATAAAAGTACAAATTAGACTCCGAAAAATGTGATTTATGAAAACCTGAGGCACCTGAAAATGAGCTTTATTAATATAGTCAATGGAATTTAATGATGATAAAAAATTCGTGTGACGCAAGAGACATTGAAAATGAAATTGAGTTATTATTGTATCGTGCGACTAATTTCTTTCAGCGCTTTCAATATTTTTTGTAATTGGGTAATTGGATTTGGCACCACCAATCGGTTGAAATATTAGGCTAACTAACTGCGACTACCCCGTATATTTTGTGTAACGATAAGAACCTATCACGACATCAACAAGGCGTTAGTTGCGTTTTTGAGCTACAAAGTAGTTACAGTGTGGTCAAAAGGTAGGATTAGTCCAAACATGACAGTTTCAATTCAGAAATCACACGCGCCTGCCTTTTCTACTTGTCCGCAGTTAGGTACTTCACTTCATTAGGGATTTTGAAAATAAAACTGTCATAAATATTACTTTGTCCTTCTAAAGCCCGTTTCGTCCAAACTTTTATCCGAGAATAACTCCTGGTATAACTGGTACATTGACAGTTTCAATATGGGAAATACAAATTTCAAAATGTCGAATAACTGAGATCAATATTTACTCTTGTCTAGTCAAATCCACCCTAATTAATTAATTCCTGATTAATTTTCCAGACAATATCTTGAATTAGGCTCAGCCATTTATAAACACTGCGAAAATAAACACTGTTTTCTAACAGCTGTCTCTATTGTTGCAGGTGACCCACAAAACGTCTGGCAAGGTGATGGTGCTGAAGATGAACCAGCAGCGGGCGAACAGGCCCAACATGCTTCGGGAGGTGCAGTTGATGAACAAGCTCAAACACCCCAACATCCTCGGGTAAGACGCATCCCATCAAAAACAATACTTGTCAAAAAAACCAAGTCTCGCAACTCAGTTGTTCTACGGTAAAAAGTTGTGAGATCCATGTAATACCAAGTCCAGGCCAGGAAATCTTTAACGTTTTACATAAATTATTGACTTGGCCATCGCACTAAATAATTTTATTTACACGTGTTTTCATGCGATGACCAAGTCAATATATTTATGTAAAAGTTGGGATTATAATAAATCACAATAAATTTAATATAAATAACACTGCACAACAAAATCGAACTTTTTTTTTGTTGCATGAGATTTTTCACTTGTTGTTTACTAATTTAGGCTCGCTTATTTTAAATCTACCCTCAGATTTTTTCTAGCAGCTCTAGTTTATGAGATACAGGTACCCTCTTAAAATGTACTCTCCATTTGACTGCTGATATCGCTATCATCAACGTCTTACTAGTTTCTGTTTCTTTTTTTGCAATGACTTCGTCTAGAAGGACCTGTGTAAATAATCCAAATAGATTTGTCACAATTGTGGCAGATTCACAAAATTCCGTTTAAATGTGTTAGACTTCGTGAAAAATGCCTATTTGGAGTACTTTCAACGGCTGTTGGAAACAAATAACAAGCCCTGGATACCGAATATAGTGTGTAAAACGTGTGTGGAGTCTTAACGATTATGGAAAAATAACAAGAGGGATCCCTTGAACCTTATTAGTCCTATGATTTGGCGTGAACTGTCAAACCACCACGACGAATGTTATTTCTGCGTTGTAAACATAACAGGAATTAACCGCTAAAATCATTCTAAGTGGGTTTATTCTAATGTGCCGTCAGTTACTAGACCTGTCCTGCGTTCAACTGATAGTCTGATACACTAAAGCCCCAACCAAGTACATCTCAGGTACTGTACTACAGAACGTCCGCAAGAAAATTTTTAACGAATGGATCGTTTCAAAAATTGTGTGCTGAGAAGTTAAAAACTGAAATTTTCGATGGACCACAAATTAGAAAATTAAGAAACTATGTAAATTTTACTGAAAGTATGACAAACGCCGAAAAAAATGCCTTGAATGAGTTTGTTTGGTTCGTAAAAAACTTTTTGAGAAATAAGTAGTTCGTCAATTTTCCTGACCACGTTAATCAGTTAGTACTATACTTTCAGCAACTTGAATACAACATGAGCATTAAGATGTATTTCCTTCATAGTCACCTTGATCGAATTCCTGAAAATCTTGGAGATTTATTCGAGGAGCAGTTAGAACGCTTGCATCAGGATATTTGCGCCATAGAGGAGCGGTACCAGGGCTATTGGAGTGAAAGTATGATGGCTGAATACTGTTGGATTATCCAGAATAGTTGTAACACTCGAACTCATTTAAGAAAGTCACATAAAAGAAAGTTTTATTCAAATTAGATAGTTAAATAAATTGTTATATGACAGGAAACCATGTTTTTTTGATAAAAATAGCTACCCTTCACATCTCAAAAAGTAGAGCTGCTAGCGAAAATCTGAGTACAGATTTGGAATCAGGGTAGAAAATGCAGCTAGATCCATAAAAAACATTCCATGCAACAAAAATGCTGTTGTGCAGTGTAATATTACCTACCCATTTCAATCGCAAATTCAACTAGCAACAATACAACTTGTATGGCTGTCATTCAAATAATGTAATACCTCTGCGAATACGAAAAATACATGACACGCGTATTTATTATTTCTACATAAAAGTACAAATTAGACTCCGAAAAATGTAATTTATGAAAACCTGAGGCACCTGAAAATGTGCTTCATTAATATGTATAGTCAATGGAATTTAATGATGATAAAAAATTCGTGTGACGCAAGAGACATTGAAAATGAAATTGAGTTACATATTATTGTATCGTGCGACTAATTTCTTTCAGCGATTTCAATATTTTTTGTAATTGGGTAATTGGATTTGGCACCACCAATCAGTTGAAGTATTAAGCTAACTAATTGCAACTACCCCGTATATTTTGTGTAACGATAAGAACAAGTAAGAAAGACAACAACAAGACGTTAGTTGCGTTTTTGAGCTATGGAGGAGTTACAGTGTGTTCAAAAGGTAGGATTAGTCCAAATATGACAGTTGCAATCCAGAAATCACACGCGCCTGCATTTTCTTCTTGTCTTGTAACTTGTTGCTGTAAAAAGAAAACTGTCATAAATGTTACTTTGCCCTCTGTTAAATCGAGGGAGGGAAAGACTCAGTTATAGAAACACTCCTTAAATAAACACTGTTTTCTAACAGCTGTCTCTATTGTTACAGGTGACCCACAAAACGTCTGGCAAGGTGATGGTGTTGAAGATGAACCAGCAGCGGGCGAATAGGCCCAACATGCTCCGGGAGGTGCAGTTGATGAACAAGCTCAAACACCCCAACATCCTCGGGTAAGACGCATAGAAATTCGTCACATCTCATCCCAAAAAATACTTGCATACTTGCACTCATTTATTTTCTGTAAATAAGCTCTTATACAGGGTGTTAGGTAAATGGGTATATGAGCCGACACTAGCCCATGTTAACATGGGCATATAAATGGTATGGTGAAGTCAGAAATTTCATATCATCATTTTATTTTTTTTTAATTTTCATACAAAATATTTTTTATATATATAAAAATGAAACCCGTTTCGCGTTGTCACGGCATCACGTGTGAACGGCTGAACCGATTTCGATAATTCTTTTTTTTAAATGTTTGTGGAAGTCCAAGGATGGTTCTTACGGAAAAAAATATTAAGAAAATCTCTACGCTAAGGCGGTACGAAGTTCGCCGGGTCAGCTAGTATTTTTTATAAAATCCGATTTGTATGAAAATTAAAATAATTAAAATGAAGATATCAATTTTCTGACTTCACCATACCATTTATATGACCATGTTAACATGGGCTAGTGTCGGCTCATATACCCATTTACCTAACACCCTGTAGAGTTCTCATAAAGGTAGCAGGAAGGCGCTGGATACAGGCCGCTACCAACCGGCCTTTGTGGAAATCATTGGATGAGGCCTATGTTCAGCAGTGGACGTCCTATGATGATGAAGCTCTTATAAAACGCTTTTAGACACCCCACACAATACACACTTAGTCGACCGATACCAAATTGGTGTAAGTGCGTCCTTCTATACATGTTACTGATTAAATGAGTCCGACCAAACTATCGGCATAGTCGACGGGGTATCTTACACGTCCCAATACTACTTTGAACTCTACCTCTACTTCGGGACAATAAATGAGCCATTATAGGCTACAGACATTCTACGTGAGACTGGAATACACGCGGCTGAAGCCACGGGTAGACAATAAGACTTCATCTTACGCACGGATCAGTACCTGCTCCAAAATTCACGAGCAACAATAATGTTTTCAATCCGCCAGATTCGATTCACCCCTTTCTTTGTCCTGAACTGACAGCTGACGCATAAACGCATCTCACAGTCAGTGTTACTGAATAAGTAACTTTTCAGAATAAACACAAGGGTGAAAGATGAAAGTATTAAGAGACAGGGGAAAGTTAAGGGCGAGGGGAGTTAATCTCGTTTTAAATATGTGCGACGTGCTAAAACTAACTTAATATTAATTTCGGAATTCCGAATCTTCAGACCCTTGACTGATCCAGACGTGATAGAAATTGAATTTTGCGCATGTGTGTATCTGCCCCCGGCATACGCAAGGTGAACTTTGTGATGAAGGTGAAGTACTCTAGGTATTACATCATTTATTACTAGAGATGGGCCGACTAGTCTCCGACTAGTCGGGAAAGCCGACTATTCGGCATCATTTGTAGTCGGCCGACTAGTGACGACTATTCGGCAAAATATGCCGATTATAATCGGCGCATTGNGAGATAGCAATATGTTTTGTCCTTGTCTTGCACGGATGGTCCGTTGCGCGAGGCAATACCGTAAAGAGAGCCGTTTTAGGTTTTTTGTCAATAACTTCGCCAATTTTGGGAATTTTGTGATGAAACTTTTTGTATAATGTAGATAATTTAATAAACGCGAGAAGTCTCAGCAAGTGAAATAGTGGTTTTATTCCTGCAAGTAGCACCTACTACGCCTGACATAGTAAGGGCAAGCTCTCAACGGCAGTCATCATCGTCCGGTCAGCGCTCTCGAACACACACAAACGCATACAGTCCACTGCAGTCCACCACATTTTCCTGGTCCTTCGAGTAGCCGAAGTACGGGAATAGCGAAGATGCCTGTCACCAGGTCGGAGAAGCTACGAGGTGCCGCCGCCGCGGCTAGCGCCGCCGCCGCAGGGAGAATTACGTCGCCGCCGGTTCATGGAGGAAGTACTCCGACGGAAACCACGGATACTTCATCAACGCTGACCCCGTATCCCGCCGGGGGCGCGTCCTCACCGCGCATCGCCAGGGACCACGCCGCGCCGGCTGTTAGCACCCGGGTTATGGGAGAGCCCGGCGTGCATTTGGGAAGAGGGGAACCAGCACCGCGCTCCTTCCAGTTTTTGGACGACCTTGACGGGGATCATCACTGAGCTTGACACGTCCACGTTGAAATTCAGGAAACCAGCGATAAATTGTGGTTTTGGATGGGGCTTCATTACCAAATGCAGAAATCATCCGGTCAACACACTGTTTTTGTGTTAAACCACTTCAAAAGTCATAATAAATCATCGCTCTTGAATTTTCTCGACTCAATTCCATTTTCTCAACGACTAAACAAGTTTGACAAGACCTTGTGATACGACCGAGAATCTTTTTTTAAATAAATAAATGGTATACGATTTTTAAAACCCTGGAGTTTGCAATTAAATAGATTTTAATATGACTGGAACAGTGGAAATATTCCATTCCCGATACTTTTAGTGCAGCCCTCGTATTAGTTTCTTCATATTTCTATTGTTTAGGTGGTTACAAACAAACCTGGTATCAGACTTAAAGCTCTTTCAAATTAGCTGCACGTTAGTCGTCTGTTTTCAGGACCGCACGCAAAAAATTCTATGATAACTGCGTTGGAATAAAAATGTAAAGTACCAACAGTTAGTTGGCAGCCTTACAAGCGACAGACGTCCTGCTCATAACGCTTAATTTGAAAAAGCCCTTAATGGGCGTTTGATTTACTTTATAATACTATGTCCCAACCAAACTGGGAACAATTAAATCAAGATTACTCTTACTTCTATGGTTATTCACGTCAACAAGGATAATAAAATGGTCCACAATATAACAAACGTCCTCGTTCACTTTGAGATGACCTCAGATATAATTTATTTTTTTTCATTAGCGAGCGAAATAAAATGTCAAATATAACTGCTACAAATACATAATGAACTTGTTTATCAAGACATAAAATATAATGAAACTACTAAAATTTCCGTTGAGTCCAAGTTCAATTTTAGTATGATAACATTTTGGCTTGGTTGTGACATCTTTATTATATCTATACTGTTTATAATTAAAGTTAACTGCTATTAAAATTTAACTAGCAGTTAAATTAAAGTTAAATGTATTAAATTGCCTACGAAATTTCACTCAATGAACGGAACCAATCAAGTAAACTACATCATTGATTGCTCTTTCATACTAAAGGAATGTGAAGTTCAAAGAAAACTGAACACCCCTGACTCAATACACCGATAAGGAAAACAAACAATAAGATTCTTTGCTGTCTGATGATGCCCGCAAATATTGTGCCGCTACTATTTACATCTCGAGCGATCAACCCCGCCGCTGTGCATTCAATATCCGACTTTATGACTTTCAAACAAAACGCGTTATGGCTTGTCCTTGACACGGTTGAGCCACCGGATTGATTTCGAATAGGGTTGCCGTTTACATAATGTTTACGCGGGAATCCTGGGATTTACGCGCCAATTTTCGCACAGATATTTTTTGGAAGGATTCCTTAATGTTCTTGATCCAGTCCAGATTGCTACTGTGGATCAAGAACATATCCAGACACAATTTTAGGTGACTTGGTTTATTGTAGTTCAAACAACTGTTTTAAATTTGTCGGTCATTGAATTAACTAAACGTTGTAATTTGTTGCACCGATAAGTCACGTAATAGTAATCGTTTCATAGAAAAGGTTTATAGGTCGATTCTAAATGTCCGTGAACATGATAATATAATTGAACTGAACATAGAATTGACTCAAGTATGTAATTTTAAAGGTAAAATAGCTGATTTATATTTTTCCCTAGATCATATCCTCCATCAGCACCACATATTCGAATAGTCTACATTTCTACAAGGAGGCAGTGACATTGTTGTTGGATCCTTTAGTCTTATCAAGGAACCAAATTATCAAAAGTCTGTTCACTGAAAAGGCTGTTTCATAAATAAACTCCGTTGTAGAGCTTCGTCATTTGGCAGGACACGTGAGTTGCTAAAGAACAAAGTTAAGGAACGAAGGTTACCGTTGGCTTAGTCGCTTTTGATCTCCCGAGGTTCAATGGTCTCGAGTTCGAGGCTGAAATGATAAAATTCCAAAAGTCATTTAATTTCACACTCCAACGTTTTCATTTCAGTGTCTTCATAAAGGTCATTTAACATTCATAACATAACAGATGTTGCATCTCCATTTGCCGCATTTTGAAGGATGTATGGTAATGATCTGCTGTAGCATAAACGACTTAATAGCTCTTGATGTGGGAGTTGTCTTCCTCTCCATGAGAAGCATGAGATTCTTAAAATTCTTTCACCTCGTACGATGCTCGAAACTCAATCCTAACCAAAACACACTTTCAAGTCTGTAATTGGATTTTACTTTTTAGTTTAGTCTATAGAGTACAGTCTATTGACCAACAGGGTTGAATATATTCTTGACTGTAGATAGATTCATACTGGAGCATTGTTGTTTTAGAACACAGTCTTTCAGGTTTGTTGCAATATAGCTCATATTGCAACTCCCTAAGATGCCATAGTTGTTTTGCTTGATTTGTCGTTCAGAAATGGGTCCGGCTCAGCCCTACATTCGCCCAGTAAAAACACGGCCTTCTGGTTGATGGCGTCTTTGTTTCGGGTGTCCGAACGCCCGGAGCCGGTTTCTGGAGTACATACCGTGTTCAGGGTTGCGTCATCGCTGGAAGGGAATGGGGTCGGGCAGTTTATCAGCTTAGGTAAACAACGAGAACACTGAACACCTTTGCGGTTTGATCCCTTTTAGGTAGATGATTTTGGTTGATTTTATCTGGATAGCCAGATTTTGTAAAAATTTATTCTGTTTTGCCAAAATTATGTCATTGATATGTTGTGATTATGATCGTCCCCGCTTCTACCAAAACGATTGAGTTTGGAATATAAATATTTAATTAATCTAACTTCAGAAAAGTAAAAACATGGCATAGCAGGTAAATAGTAAGACAAATTCTTCCATTATATAATTTAGGTCTTGATAAGTTCCAAGTGGATACAATGTCGTCACAAGGAACTGAACTAGATACTGGCGAAAGCTTAAGGCAAACAGATCCCTTGAGGTGTTAAATTCTTGTGCGGAATTCCCTTTTCTCACTTGAGATAATTTGGTGTTAAACTGTTAATGTGATACATTCTTGTTCAAAGACCTCTCAAGTCGGAGATAAATGATGAAGAAAGTAATGTAGGTAGAGAAATAGCTAAGGTTATAAGGAGATTGTTTGTTATTATAGGAAAAGACAGATGGCAACTGATAACGATCTCAAACGATTGCGAAACCAATCTCAATGGCATAATTATGCATCCTACTCGATATTTACGCGATAAACTTTACTACCGCCGCTGATCGTAAACCGATCAGTATTCTTAACGACACGTCAAAATTATATGTCGTCCTCATTAGTCAACATTGTGTAAGGCGAGATCTTGATCAGCCGCCGGCTGTAGTGATATGCCAAGTAGTACCTGACTCGAGTGTCAATTCGATGCTTATCGATTAACACGAGTTTATTTTTCGGATTCCGATCATCTGGTTTTAGAGAAAACCTGAAATCAATTAGCTTCTTATCTCTCATCTTAGTCCATCTCCAAAAGTCCGTAAGTTTACGTCTATCAAATTTTGTATCAAAGAGTTACAATATCTGTTACGTCCAAATGAATCCGTTTCATTCTTGATTACTCGAGTCTCAGTTGCATCTTTAAAGTCAACTCACAATTTGAAAGTAGACGAAAACTTACAAGTCAGCACATCACTAACCAGCATCACTCTAGATTCCCAGGTCACGACGCGTTCTCGTCCTGAATCGGTTTGCGTAACGTTACGAAACCGAATGCACACAATGGACCACTGTCCTGCATTTAGGCGCCTTCCTGTTTGCTTATCATCGGAAATAAAAACAATGCGCCCATCTGTCGCGATTGTTTGACACTTCTCATGCAATTGGGCCGGCGGCTTGCATTACTGTAGTCTGCGATGTCACTCTTTCGACACACTTGACATAATTTTACAAACGATTGTACTTTTTTTTATTCTATCAGCGTTAATCAAAGTCCATCTTGTTTCAATCGATTCGGTCAGCCGTATTTTAAGTTTGATGAAGTGTATTACGCGTAAGAAATATAAAGCAAGATTTTTGTTCACTCATCCGTATAATTTAAACCGTTAGTGTAATTTTTGTAAGATAACGACGGTAAAACATCGATTATCTATCGGATATAAATTACATTCAGAGTTCTGCATCAGTTTTTTCTCCCACCATCATGTCGAAAGGTTAATGCTTTCTTTAAAAATATTTTAACAGACACAATAATGGTCTTGCGTAAGGCGGCACCGCGTCGCCTCTTTAGCTTCATAACAGATGCATTCATTATAAGCCCTCAGCAGGTACTTGCGCATGCGACGTTTAATTGGTGATTTGCATCGACCCGCGATTGCTTCACGAGGCCTTGACAGCAGTCGCGTTGCGTGACTTCTTCCAGATAATCACTGGAACCATCTTTTCAATTATATTTTTTACCGACATTATCTAACGTTTTTCATTCCCTAAGAGTCTCGTTTCACTCGTTATCTCTCATTTTTACGAATCAATGGTTCTGTTCAAATAACAATGTGATGAAAATAACAAGCCTCATTGTCAAATTACTATTAGAGACCACTCTTCAATATCTTACGTTTCACGTCGCCAGTTAAATTCGATAGAGCTAGACGGATTCGATGCATCTCTAATTGGAAACAATGGAGTCTTTAGTCACGATGTCAGAAAAAGCTGATTTCTTTCGGTACGCTATTCCAATTTCATACATCTGAAGCTAAAATTATTTTGAATCGTACTCGATTGCATTTACATTTAACATTTTGCTCTGGGTTAACAGGTTCAATGAATCAATTAAATTCATTACATTGCAATTTTCATTGAGGCAACGAGTCAGTGCTCCGACAGTCGTCAGTATTTCAACACATGTTGATTCTAAATCGAATTTAAATGTGATTGATTCACATTTGACAGATTCATCAGTCGCAATGAGTATGTCCACTATTGTGCGGACGTCAGTTAGTGTCATTACTGGGAAGGCGTCAATCTCCTTAGAATTATGTTTTTGTTCGAGCTCAACTTGAACTGGTTCAGAAAACGACTATTATAATCATCTTGATTTTGAACTTACCATTTTGATTTGATTTGTGATTTATGTTATTAAATAAAAAATACAGATGGTCTGATTTTAATCACAAATACGAGAGCGAATGGACGACTTCATAATAATAATTGTTTGTATCTTAGGAATATTTAAAGTGGCATCGCTCGTTGCGCAATGCAATATATCAAAGATTGATTCAAGGTAGACATCATAACATTGGCTCTCTATGCATGATGGCGCTTTCCACAGTTTTTCTTTTGTCCGACAGCCCCCTTCTCTTAGCTATGAAATTATTTCACTTTCTCTGAATACACAATCGCTATTTACGTATGTTAGTTATAGTTACAACAGCGCAATGAGAAATATATTTTATGGCTTATACACAGTGTTATTACTTGTCTGTAATTTTCATTATATTTCGTGGGTAAAACGATAGCGGTTCTTCTTTCGGCGGCAATAAATTTTGTGGGAGTTCCTGCGTTTATCCAAAATATTTGATTTTCATAAATATTTATGAGTGGTGTAAAATCGAGGCTGGGTCCAGGTTGGTATCGAGTAACTTATCGCGTGGTTGACGCATTTGGCAGTCTGCCTGACGAGTTAAGTTTCCGGGCGCATTCCCGGCATCACGGCGAATGAGCAATATCACGCTCATTCACCTATACTGTCTTCTTTGTTTCAAATGCCATGTGCTTACAAATTAGACACTATCCCATTGTAACATTTCAATAACTACTTTTTGTTTTACAAAAACGATCAAGTTCTTCTTTATTCAATCGCTATACACTCGTGAATAATAATGATAGATATCGTTTAAGAGAGACTGAATATTGTAAAACGCGTTATCGTCAAGAAAGTTACATTAATGTGTCTAGCGAGATGATACTGTAACTAATTGAGCTTGGTGTGGTAACTAGTGAAGTTGCAAATGCTGTAGATTTGAGTCTGTAAAATAATCTAAAGTGACTCTGGCTATCTCAGTCGATTACTCATCGGATGATTGCTTATCCTTTCAGATTCATGGGGGTGTGCGTACACGAAGGTCAACTCCACGCACTCACGGAGTACATGGAGGGTGGTTCACTGGAGCAGCTGATCCTGAGCCGGCCGCCGCTGCCGCTGCCGCAGCCGCTGCGCGTCTCGCTTGGGGCCGACGTCGCCGCCGGCATGAAGTACCTGCACTCGCTCGGAGTCTTCCATAGGGACCTTACTACTAAGGTGAGCTGGTCAGTACATGGAGGGTGGTTCACTGGAGCAGCGATCCTGAGCCGGCCGCCGCTGCCGCTGCCGCAGCCGCTGCGCGTCTCTCTGGCGGCCGACGTCGCCGCCGGCATGAAGTACCTGCACTCGCTCGGAGTCTTCCATAGGGACCTTACTACTAAGGTGAGCTGGTCAGTACATGGAGGGTGGTTCACTGGAGCAGCTGATCCTAAGCTGGCCGCCGCTGTCGGCGGCATGAAGTACCTGCACTCGCTCGGAGTCTTCCATAGGGACCTTACTACTAAGGTGAGCTGGTCTTTAGCAATAGCTGAGAAGGACTTGCGGGAAGCCTACGTTGCGTGTCGCTTATACAGGCACGATTGATTGATTGAAAGATTGAATTGCAGTGGTGATGATTTGTTTGTACTTATTGACAACTTGTAGTTTTTAACGCACCTTTAACGGTATAATTTTAAAATCTATTATTTTATCTCAGTATATCATCTGCTTATAGAGCAGCTGAACTATTTGTAGTACCAACAGGCTTTTTTGCAATGACTGAGGACCCCCTGGCGGCTAGTCACGAGTTTTCCATTGAGTCTGCTTAAACACTTCAACGCGTAATCTTGAAATTCTTTTGCCATCTCACTTTAACAAACAGTTACCTTACACTTATCTTGAGGCAGTTAAAGTCTCTGTAATCCAACTGCACCCACTAGTCCGGGCTCTGCAAACTCATTATTAATAACGGATCCAATTATAACACTGGGCCGATGAGAGCCCCTTGCGGTAAGCGCTCATTTATCACCTGATTATACCTCAATCTCCAATCATTTCATGGGAGCAGCAGAACCGTAACATTTGGATTGTTGATATTCGCTTCTATTGCCCAAATTGTTTCCTGAAGTTTTCGTAGCGTATTCAATTAGAAAACAAATAATTATTGCGAAGTGCGAACAGTTTAGATTAATGTTCTGCTGTCGAACAAAATTTGGCGTAGGAGTCATTTCAACCAATCAACCAATAGACGCTTCCAACATTAGGCAATTTCTTTGGGAATTATAAAGAAAAATAAAATATGATTTATTCGTCGAGCTACGGTGACTTATAAAAATCCTTCCTACTAATACAACTGCCATTACTGGAAATATTCACCTAACATGAAGCAAAAAATATCGTACGAGTAGTCACGGGTGGAGTAATACGACCAATGGCACATCAAGTTAAGTACTGTGGTATTTAACGCAGTTCTAATAAGTATGATTTTGCAACAGCACTGTATACTCTGATATGACTTTAGTAGACATAAGAAACACAGAGCAACCAGTTCAGAAAGTTCGTTTCCTTATTTTGTAAGTATTTTCGCATTAACGCGTGCGCGTCTTGTTATATCACAGAACAACTTTATTGCTTATGGATTTCGGGTTCTGTAGTTGTGTGATACAACAATCAACTTTTAGCTTATTATATTTGTTATTACTTACTTTTACTGGCACAATGTAACACGGTAAGTTTGGTAGTTAAGTAAGGAAGTTTGTAGATATTTTGTGTATCTTCATAAGTTTTCTTATAAAAAAAGAAAAATTCTACGGTCTTATTACTTTTCCCTGCCACGTAAAATTTTAATAATTAAGAAAGTTCCTTGCTAACTAGAGATGAAACGCATAGTGGTTTGGCCGGATACCGGATACCGGATATCCGGCCAGCTGCTAGGCCGGATAGCCGGATATCCGGCGGCCGGATAGTTGGCCCATTGTCTCGTTGCATGTCGTGACAAGTTTAGCGCCGCACAGGTGCTTCGAACGCGACCAGTGGGTCTATTAGTAGACTAGACTAGTCACACTTTTCGAAAATCGAATCAGTCCGAATAGAATTTCATATTTTGGCACTTGTCTAGGGGGCAGATCAATTCGGACGATTTCGGTTGCCATCGTGAGTGTGTGATTGAATAGCGAAAATTAAATTACACTCGCGAGCAAAAGTATGGAATCACATACATGAAGTTTTTTCCACGCGATCTTGTGTACTAATGAATTTGTTAGTAACAAAAAAAGTCACACCATTTTAAAGATTAAACTTTTAACCTTAAATTGATACCAAATTCATTTAGACCGGACCAGTATTTAAAAAGATATCCCGGCTGATGTGAAGAAGTAACGAAAAAGACATGTATCAACTGTTTGATACGTCGCGATTGCGGCCTATTTACCCCCTATAAAAGCACGTGTTTTCGGATTTTTGCTTTCACACGTTGATCCATACACATCTCCGCTTCTTTTGACACTTTACCTGCGATTCTACACCTTCAGAAGCAGCACGAATCGTTGCACTATTGCAAGAAGGGCTCAGCCAGCGGGCTGTCGCACGTCAGCTCCACATAAGCCAGTCCTGGGTTTCGAAAGTTCTAAGACGCTTTCGAGAGACTGGTGGCTTAATCCCGAGACCAAGTTCTGAACAGCGCCGGTGCACATTGCAGTGGGATGACCGTTTTTTCATGTCAACCTCTCTATGAAATGGTAATTTGACTGGTCTCGACGTCCAGTAAGAGCTCAGAAATGTTCGTAGGATAGCTGTTAGCAAGTGGACAGTTCGTCTAAGATATAAGCAATAGAATTTGACTCCAAAAAGGCCTGCCACAGGCTCAAAACTGACGGCAGGTCACCGATAAGCACGCTTTCAATTTGCTCGTACACATCTCGATGGGAAGTCGAGCAAGCCACCCCCATTAGCCACTGTTTCAGCGAACCAGCACTGCACAAATCGCTCCCCAGGCCTCCTGTAGACCCGACCTCTTCGACTGCTGCACTGCAAACACAGTCTGCATTCATTGGAGAACAAAACTCGCCTCCATTACTCCTTCCATCAAAATAAGTGCGAGCTAATTGAAAGCGTGCTTATCAGTGACCTGCCGTCAGTTTCATGTAAGTGCCTAACAAATTCGTTAGTACACAAGATCGCGTGGAAACAACTTCATGTAAGTGATTCCATACTTTTGCTCGCGAGTGTAGTTTACTTGCTGCGTAATCTGACTGAACTGCATCATGATGACATCAGACCATCAGTGAAAAAAAATTTGTTGGGCAATATTTCGACTTAACAGATATTTACTATTTATGTATTCGTCATTAGAGTGAATAGCCCAGAAAAAGAAATTAGTTTTTTTAAAGGCCTTAATATGGCATTTTCTAACTTTTTGGACTTTAAATAAAAGCCGTCATTATTATAAGCCATTTTATTGATGTTTACCTCAAAGATTAATGTATTTCATTTTATTAATAGGAAATTGTCGTAGTTTTTTAATATCCGGTATCCGGTCGGATAGTGAGTTACTATCCGGTATCCGGCCGGATAGTAAATTTAGGCCGGATATCCGGCCTACCGGATAGTTACCGGATATCCGTTTCATCTCTATTGCTAACACATCGACTATACGTTTTATTGTAAAATCACGTATTTACTCCCCAAGTTAAGAAAATAATTGTACACTGTTATTACATGCCCTACTACACGTATGTATTTGATTACAGATATTATGACAGCTCTAAATATTCTTATCATCATAACTACTATCACATGTTACTTCCGTGGAACTTGTCAATTATCACAACGGCAACAATAGAAGCTGTAAAAACTATGACCTTGAACATTTTAAAGTATTAATTCTGTTAATATAAGAATTAACCTCAGTGATGTCACTTGTTTTCGCCTAGGCCCGCATATACGGGCACTTAAACATGAAAATAAAATTTATAAGTGTAGCGCTTAACTCATTACCTGGGGTTACCTACGCCATATCGAATGACAAATGATCGAAAATCAAAATATCGAAAACGTTTCATCGAACGATCAGAATATCGAACGATCAAAATATCGAATGCTCAAAATATCGAACGTTCAAAATATCGAATTTACAAATGATCGAACGATCAAAATATCGAATGATCAAAATATCGAAAGTCGATCTTATGCTGCATAGTGTAATAGGAAGATGGAGGTAAGGGTTCCTTGTTGACTATGGTACCCTATAGTGGAGAATAAAAAATATGTGTATATTAATGATGTTTTATTTCATCATTTGTAAATTCGATATTTTGAACGTTCGATATTTTGAACGTTCGATATTTTGATCATTCGATATTTTGATCGTTCGATATTCTGATCGTTCGATGAAACGTGTTCGATATTTTGATTTTCGAGCATTTGTCATTCGTAGGTAACCCATTACCTGAGGTATGGAAACAGTACGGGAGCGATAACTATGACATTGCATAGAAATCTGAAGTCTCGCTGACGTTTGACCGTCACAAAAACACTCACGTGCCGGTCCCAAACCTCAGGCACTGATTGAGTTAAGCACTATAGCTACAGTAGTAATAAGATACAAAAATGTGTAAACAACTCAGATAATACCTAATAAATATTTTTTTTTGTTTCCAGAACGTATTGTTAAGAAAGCACGGCGACGATAGCTACACGGCCGTTGTGGCTGACTTCGGCTTAGCCGCCAAAATACCTCATCCTGTGTAAGTATTAAGATTTTTTTTGTTAAACTCATCTTAATAAATGAGAAAAAAATAAGAAGAGTGAAACTGTAAGACTCAACCTTTTAGGCCCAGAACTCACGGTGAAACGCAACTGCAACGAAACTGCAACTTTTGAGTTACTTTTGAGTTGCATCTAAGTTTCCGCCATAGATTCCATTGAGAGACGAACGACGAACGAAAGTAACTACAAGTTGCAGTTGCGTTTCACCGTGTGTTCTGGCTGGGCCTTAAGGCTCCTCTAATTTTCAACCGACTTCAAAAAAGGAGGAGGTTCTGGGTCATTCCATGACAAATGTTACCGAGGGTGAAAAACAAAATATGTTCTTTTCGCATTAAATCTGATGAATTTTGAAAGTAAACATTCCAAATTATAATGTGCAACAAAAAAAATCTGGAAGAAACAAGTAATTTTTAAGTTATTAGTCTTCAAAGTCTATACTTAAGTCAACTGTTTGAATGATCATTTTCTATCTTATTTATTGGTAAAACGATTTAAAAAAAACTATCAATCTGTGAACCGTTTGGCCACTATATGATTTGAGGGTATTTATCATAGTATTGGTAGATAGCGTCATAGTCCCAAAAAAATTGATAATCATCAAGTTTTAAGTGTGTTTTCTTGTTACTTCGGCGATGTAACACCCGAAACAAAAAAACAGGTATTTGTTTTATTATTGTACCTTACACATAGATTAGGATAACAATATTTGGTAAAAGTAAGGTCATGGTAGTAATGATTTCAAATACTAACTAATATTTGAGCTTGATACTAATTTAGTATGTTTTTTCTTGATTGAAAACTGTAACACCCGAAACGTTTCGGGTATCACATTTTTATTTATATGTCGATAATGCGTATATATTGCTTGGAGAAGTCAAAAAGTATTACTGTGAGGCTCCTTCGACCTCCCACTAGTGCTGGCATCGGAAAAGGAGTCATATTTCTCAATTTATGACTTTTTTGAATTGTCGACTTAACACTAAAATTAAGGTATTGTTAAAAAGCTTCCATGTTCGACATTTCCAATAAATATCGTAATTAGAAATTAAAGTAATGCTATTTCAAGCCAAAAACAATAGAAAAAGCTGTATGCTGAGGAAAAATTAAACTTGAACTTTGTATATTTTTTAAAAAAACCTGCTTCATAATTTCAAACCAGAATTCGCTCTATTTGTGTTTATTTGTTGTACTCCTTATTTCGTAGTACCTAGAGACTAATAAAACACCGATTTTATCAATAAAACACGTTGAATTTTCGTACTCGTAACACCCGAAACAGAACCACTGTAACACCCGAAACAAAGAAAAAATTTATAAAAAAATAGTAAAACGTTATATGTAACAGTGCTTGTATGTTACATGGTTTGTAAATTTCATACTTTAGAAGTCCAGTAAGTTTTAGGTATGANTGGAAAATTGGGGATGAACATTTTTATACGCAATATCTCCGCCGATTATAAATCAATTTGAACGATTATTTTTTTGTTGAATAGGTATTATCAAAAGGGTGGTTTCATGCGAATTTGAAGAAAATATTTCACCCCTAAGGGTGGAAAATTGGGGATGAACTTTTTTATACGCAATATTTTTAATTTTTAGTTTTTTTTGTGTTCACGCATTTGAAGTCGGTTTTATTTTTTTAAAAAGGTAATAACCCCTCACTTAGTATTGACCGGAATGTTGTGCAGTCTTTGTACCCGTCTTAGGGTCATAATATTGGAGTAAAATACTTTTAGCCGTCATTTTTTAACCTCAAGTCTTAAACCTCGGCAATCCTAACTTGTCTAAAATGGCTAAAACAAAAAATAGTGCAAAAAATACTTGTGTGTCAAATACTACGGTTCTAATAGTTAATCCGTGGTCAGTAACCTTTCGTAATGCTACATAAAAGTCGTTATAAAGCACGAGTAACCTTCTTGCTTAATAGGTATTTTGTAAAATTACGAAGTAAACAATTATTTATAAATTGCAATGACAAAGTTACTTAGTTTACTTTGCGTTTTATGTATATTAAAATAAAAATAGTTTACTAACAAACCTTTAAAAGTATAAACCAATAATAATTATTACCCTTAATTTTATTAATGATGCGTATTGACAACTTCATCAATACGTCGTTATTGCTTAATGAAACTTGAGTTACAACTTCATATGTAAGTGGAATGATTGAAAAATGGTTATTTAGAAAGCAGCCGATAAAATCCTTATTCTTTATCATTTGTTACTTCCTAATTTTCCGCATGAACACCTACGTTTCATAATAATTAATGTCACAAGGAAAACAAACAAAAAATCTAATTAGGCTCATTTATTAGTGCTGTCAATTTCTTTATCGATATTCCAAAACATGTAAAATCATTATCATCAAATATCGAAAAATCAAAGGACCAAAAATAAAAATACAAATTAATCCATGATTTAATTAAATTGCAAATTCTAAATTAAGTATTAAATTAACTTGTCTACAAGATAATATTTTTTCATACCCCAATTGTTTTACTACATATTGCCCAAGACCAGACCAGTGGTAACGTTAATTTAGCCGGCTTTATAATATTGCATATTTCAACACAGCGTGTTAACTCATTTATTCACAACAGTATAAAATTATTACCTAAACAGTATGCCTGGTAGCTGCGATTGATGATTCGATTATTCTGGTAGTAGGACCTACTTAATGTTAGTTTTATGAGTAGGTAAAAGTAATAGAAAGTACATTGATTTAACTGTGTATTTTAACATCTTTATTTTATTATAACAGGCGATTAAATGCCTAATACAAGCGAAACTTATTTTCGACTAATAATAAGTTGTTTATTGAATTAAACATCTACGTTCACTTGTGTAAACAATAAAGTAATATTGACGGCAAAATCCATTACATTCCGGAAAGAAACGGCTTTCGCGACTGAACTAATAATTTATTTTTTTTTCAAACTAAAATATCTCAATTATGAAAAACAGCTCGGAACCTGCATAAGATCCACATCATCGATATTTTCGACAGTCGAAACATCGATTATTCATAATCATCATTCGACAATACTAACACATGCTAATTTATACGTCAAACGCGTTCCCCGACTACTTAGGATTGAGATTTATATTTTCTCACGCATCATCGATCTTTTATTTTAAATATCGATTATTCATAATCGTATACGACAACACTAACGCATGCTAATTAAGACGTCAAACGCGCCCAACACGCGGCAAGACAATGCTGTGCACGCGACTTCGCGTGTCCGATGTTGCGATGGGTCATTTATTAGAACGGTTTTTTGTTGCACCGTGGAGAGAATAACCCCGATGTACAGTCAGCCTCAAATGGTTTCGATATCGATTGTGAACGAAGCTGCAATCCAGTGCATGTTTCTTGTAATTAAATGAAAACTCAGAGGAAATTGTACAAGAAAATAGTATCGTTTTCAAACTTGATTATTGGTGTACAGATAATCAGGTAGGTATTAAATGAGTAAGCTCATAAAAGATAAATAAGAGAGAGGAAAGAAGAATCAACAAAAAAGTCATAAAATAAGTTTTAAGTATTAATTAATGTTCCTACATCAACAGATCGGGATTAGAGAGGACTAGAATCCAATGCGGATTCTAATCCCCTGTAATCTATACAAAATCTATGGTAGAGTCACATTTTGACAGCTAAAATAAGTATATCAGTTGACTGGAGTACCTATTCAAATCCTATTTGACATAGTTAAAAAGTCGTTGTATCGTGATGATGATCCATCCGACCGATTTCGGCCATGTCGACCATAATTCTGCAAGCGTTCTCCTACACATCACGATACGAGGATTTTACAACGATGTCAAATAGGATTTTGGATACCCTATAGTGAACTGATAAACCGACTCCTAGTTGTCTTGGCGACCCTGGTGTGCCCGGAGATGGCTTAGCTTACTTAGCAGATCTTCGTTGTATCGTGCTAAATCGTGATCGTTGCGGTTGCAGTAACGGCTACCGGCTGCCGAGCGTCGGCTCTCCGTGGTGGATGTCGCCCGAGTGCTTGCGCGGCCGCTGGTACGACCACCGATCCGACATCTTCTCCTACGGGATCATCCTGTGCCAGCTGATAGCCCGGGTGAGTGACCTGAGCTTAGTAACGGCTGCCGACTGAGTCCGGATGAGTGACCTGAGCTTAGTACAATCCTGTGACAGCTGATAGCCCGGGTGAGTTAAATAGAAGGATTGATTGAATTAAGACTCGATTTCCACCAAAGCGGATAGTAGAAGAGATGTCTGCCGCTGCGGTGGGAACGAGGTGTGGAAATAGACCCGTTAGCGGTGATTAAAGCATTTCTGCCAAAAAGTTACTTCTGTTCTTTGCCCTGGAATTTCCGGTTCCAAGTCTGGCAATACCTGATAACCGGTACAAGCTTTACTTAGTTTGGGACTAGATAGTATTACATGGAGCCTGTTTTAGAACAGACGACCGGCTCTATAGGGGCCGTTCAAGTATTACGTAAGCACCAAGGGGGGGGTGGGGGGGTCTCTGTTTTGCTTATTTTGGATGACATGGGGGTAGGGGGGTCTAGATGATGATTACGTCATCGTTAGTTATTTACGTTTTTTCGGAGATTCCCGCAAATAATACATATGCTTTGAGAACTGATTAGGGGAATTACCGCACATTAGGGAAATTACCGTGCGCTATTCACTTGTCTAATAATTAACTCTCGTGCCGACACTGCCCATTGAAGTTTGAGAGTCGTAGTCCGCATATTATTACGCGGGCCGGCCTCCCGCGCGCGTGTTTTGTTTGGATACTAAACGTATTGTAAGCATTGAAAGTTATCATTTGTGTTTATGTTGATGCATAATTGATGCAATTATGTTTGTTATGTTCTTTTTTTCTGATTATATCTTTTTGTTCCTTACTCTATGTGTATCAGTTAAACCTAATATTTTCATGAATTTTCCTATTTTAAAAATGACAATATAAAAAACATTTATAACAAAATGTTTACGTAAGCATAGGGGGAGGGGGTAAGTGCTTTGCTTACTTTTGATGACAAGGAGGGCGGGGGGGTAAAAAATGGTAAGAAATCTGCTTACGTAATACTTGAACGGCCCCATAGTTGCTGGAAGCAAGGACTCAACTGTAAAATTATTTGATGTCACTTTTAAGAATTCTTCGTGTGTTTACCGGACACACTGGCCCTGTTTGCTTAAAAATTGAATGTTTCATCTCATCATCATTTCAGCCATAGGACGTACACTGCTGCTGAGCATGGGCCTCCCCCAATGATTTCTCGATTGACCAGTTGGTAGCGGCCTGCATCCAGCGCCTTCCTGCTACCTTTATGACGCCGTCTGTCCACCATCTGGTAAAGGTCGCGGGAAGAGCCTTGATGCGGGCAGCGCAGGACCGTTCATTGTGGAAAACCTTGGGGGAGGCCTTTGTCCAGCTGTGGACGTCATTTGGCTGAAACGAAACTGTCGACCATGTGGGTGGACGTTCTAAGCTACGCAAAATTGAACGTTTATGTATTTATCGTGTACTTCAGGTGGACGCCGACCCAGACGTGCTGCCGCGCACGGACAACTTCGGGCTCAACTACATGGCGTTCGTGGAGCTTTGCGACGAGGACACCGTGCCCGACTTCCTGCGCTTGGCTTTCAACTGCTGCATTGTGAGTTTGTCTATCGACCCTCGGCCATATTACTGCTCTAACTGAACAATAGCAACACGACTGATACAAACGCATGGAAACTAACGCCACCAATTGAACGTGGCGCTGTCATTCGTTGTCATTGCAATCGCATCTAAAATCCGGTCGCCGAGCACGTAGAATTTCGTCCAGTGACCCCAAGCTACCCTATCCTTATTGCTCGCGCGTAATTATATTGTTGTCGCGCTCGCACACTCACTGCTGCCGCCCATCGCACAGTCGTTTCGCTTGGGGTCATTGGACGAAATTCTACGTGCTCGGCGAACGGACTTTAAGATCTGTAATAAGCATGCGAGGTCGCCTTCGTCTCCAAGTGTTCCTTTACTCTCTCTCTTTCTCATAAAGTCCGTTAGGCTGTGAGTAGACAAACAACATCATCTATCTTTCTATCGCACTCTGACAGTGCCGTGAACGTTCGCGCTAAAATGTAGTTAAAACGGACATCTGAGATTGATATCATAGTGACAAAAGCTATCGATGTCGACTCCCAAGCAAGTGAAAAACAAACTAATTAAAATAATTTCACCAAGCAAAAATCGAGTTGCTTCCCTCCGATTTTATCTCCCCGTCTCTTTCTCGCATTTTCAATCACGCCCCATTCACATCCGACCTGTACAATTTTTGTTAGTTGACTCCATCTTGACCAGGCATGTTTGTGTTCCAGTATGAACCTAAGGCGCGGCCGCTATTCCCCGAAATAGTGAGCAAGCTAGCCGAAGTCAAGGAGAGCCTGGACGACAACGCCTGGGGCTGCCACACGCCCAACAACTCCTACGAGAGGTATGTCCGAGTCAGAGGTCCCCAGAGCTATGACGGGTCTCTAATACAAACCATTGAATCAGACTTTTTGTATCCAACTGCCAGAGGGTTTATATTTTATCCCCTTTATTAATAAAAAGTTACACCGGGGATGGATAAAATAATAAAACGTTATACTGGATTAAAATGACATTTCCATACTAAATTACAATTTTAACCAGACTTCAACTAGGGAGTAACATTTATTAATATGGGGATATGAGTTTAGAACTGTAAACGATCATTTACTTATTGCTCATTATCAATATTGATTTATGGTCTTAGATGCTGCAATGTGTTCATAAAAAATACAAGCATTAAAAAATTAGTCGCACTGCTGGCAATATATCGTTTTAAACGATTTATGCCTATGAAAGATCTTCTATATACTTTTATTTAATATCTTTTGTTTTTATATTGAAGAGAAGTTTTGTTTTTATATTGAGAATAATTTTTTTCACACCTGTTATAGTGGTTATTTATCTATATATATAAAAATGAAACCCGTTTCGCGTTGTCACGGCATCACGTGTGAACGGCTGAACCGATTTCGATAATTCTTTTTTTTAAATGTTTGTGGAAGTCCAAGGATGGTTCTTACGGAAAAAAATATTAAGAAAATCTCTACGCTAAGGCGGTACGAAGTTCGCCGGGTCAGCTAGTAATAAATAATAAAATAATCGTCTTTATTCATAACAAACAAATCAATATCCTCCTATCGATATCGACACTATCGACACCTCACCAACACTATTCCCCCGCAGCGAGGAGGCGGAGTCGTCGGGCCCGCGCTCGTGCCCCGGCGCGTACGGCTGGCGGCGCGGCGCGCGCTACCGCTCCGAGGGCAGCCCGCACCACGCTAGACGTGAGTGACAGTGATACTTGGATCAAAAATCAAATCAAAATTTATTCAATTTTGACCATTGGTGGTACTTATGAACGTCAAATACAGTAAAAAAGAAGGTAGCCCTAATGGGGCACTTTACATTGTCTCCATAACTTTTAGGCCCTACCAGCGCTGTTTTGATTCGGTTTATTGGTATGTTATTCGCTACCACTCCGTGTAAACAGTTCGCAACATGCGCGATGTAAGTGATAGTCTGCTGTTTTGATCGGCTTTTGTTTACTTTGTTTTTCGAATTTCAACCTATGCAATTATTCTACCGCTCAAACCACGCGCGTAGTTAGTAATTACGATGCTCAGATTTTTCGAAAGTCGTTTGTTTGTTATTCGACTGCGTGCCAATGATCAGCTGTTCTGAATGACTTTTTAGTGCGTTTTTGGCCTTTTTTACTGAAATAAAAAAATATATTTTGTATGTTTTTTATTGTAATAAATATTGATTACATTCATGAAAGCTTTTTAAAAACAAAATTAGTTTCAGTAGTATACTCGCGTACAAAGTCTGAGATGAGAGCTGATAACTCCTTCACTCAAAAACTGCGAGTAATGTCGTATTGCAAGCTTTGATTTTAAGTTTCGTTAAAAACACTTGAGTTGTTCAGAAGAAGTAACTGACTTGTCCTTTCTCTCTACAGTGCAACACCGGCGCTCGTTATCGGAGCTAGAATGGTGCGCGGAAGCGGGCGGCGCCGGCACCGCGCCCGCGCACCGCTCGGCCTCCGCTTTAGCGGGCGTGGGCCGAGCGCCCGCCAGGCTCGCGCGCCTGCACCGGCTCGCGCACATCATGCTGCTGCGGGACACGCACGCGGCGCCGCACCCAGCGCGCACCAAGCTGGCCACCTTCCGCGGCGTCAAGAAGATTCTGGAACCGCCACGAGCAGCGCCGCCTTTTGCTTCGTGTCTCGAGCTTCCATCACCGCTGGCGCGCGATGATGCGTTGTCTGATGATGAACCGCGATGCGCGTCGCTTCCCTCGTCACCAGGTCAGTACTCTTTCTTCCAACAGCTGCCATTAGCGTGTGACGTCACTCATTACTGGGGCGCTCGCGCGCCGCTCGTCTTTTGTTTCGAACGTGCGCGGCACGTATTCACCGATCGTCATTTGTTACCATGTGACGTTAGCACTACTCGGGCGCTCGCGCGCCGTTCGTCTTTTGTTTGGAACACGCTGCGCCGCATCCAGCCCGTACAAAGCTGGCCACCAACAGGCTCGCGCGCCTGCACCGCCTCGCGCACATCATGCTGCTGCGGGACACGCACGCGGCGCCGCACCCAGCGCGCACCAAGCTGGCCACCTTCCGCGGCGTCAAGAAGATTCTGGAACCGCCAAGAGCAGCGCCGCCTTTTGCGTCGTGTCTGGAATTGCCCTCGCCGCTGGCGCGCGATGATGCGCTGTCGGACGACGAGCCGCGGTGCGCGTCTCTACCCTCGTCACCAGGTCAGTACTCACTGTGTGACGTCACTCATCACTTGGGCGCTCGCGCGCCGCTCGTCTTTTGTTTCGAACGTGCGCGGCACGTATTCGCCGATCGTCATTTGTTACCATGTGACGTTAGCACTACTCGGGCGCTCGCGCGCCGTTCGTCTTTTGTTTGGAACACGCTGCGCCGCATCCAGCGCGTACAAAGCTGGCCACCATCCGGCTCGCGCGCCTGCACCGGCTCGCGCACATCATGCTGCTGCGGGACACGCACGCGGCGCCGCACCCAGCGCGCACCAAGCTGGCTACCTTCCGCGGCGTCAAGAAGATTCTGGAACCGCCGCGAGCTGCGCCGCCTTTTGCGTCGTGTCTCGAGCTTCCATCACCGCTGGCGCGCGATGATGCGTTGTCTGATGATGAACCGCGATGCGCGTCGCTTCCCTCGTCACCAGGTCAGTACTCTTTCTTCCAACAGCTGCCATTAGCGTGTGACGTCACTCATTACTGGGGCGCTCGCGCGCCGCTCGTCTTTTGTTTCGAACGTGCGCGGCACGTAACTCGAGAATTCGCCGATCGTCTATTGTTATCATGCCACTACTCGGGCGCTCCCGCGCCGCTCGTCTTTTGTTTGGAACACACGCCGCGCCGCATCCAGCCCGTACAAAGCTGGCCACCACCAGGCTCGCGCGCCTGCACCGGCTCGCGCACATCATGCTGCTGCGGGACACGCACGCGGCGCCGCACCCAGCGCGCACCAAGCTGGCCACCTTCCGCGGCGTCAAGAAGATTCTGGAACCGCCGCGAGCTGCGCCGCCTTTTGCGTCGTGTCTGGAATTGCCGTCGCCGCTGGCGCGCGATGATGCGCTGTCGGACGACGAACCGCGGTGCGCGTCATTGCCCTCCTCACCAGGTCAGTGCCCTTTCTGTAATCAGTCGATCGTCACTTGTTACTTCCATTAGCGGGTGACGTCACTCATTACTCGGGCGCCCGCGCGCCGCTCGTCTTTTGTTTCGAACACACGCTGCGATCCAGCCCGTACAAAGCTTACGGCACCGCGCGCCTGCATCGGCTCGCGCACATCATGCTGCTGCGGGACACGCACGCGGCGCCGCACCCAGCGCGCACCAAGCTGGCTACCTTCCGCGGCGTCAAGAAGATTCTGGAACCGCCGAGAGCAGCGCCGCCTTTTGCTTCGTGTCTCGAGCTGCCGTCGCCGCTGGCGCGCGATGATGCGTTATCGGACGACGAGCCGCGATGCGCGTCACTACCGTCGTCACCAGGTCAGTACTCTCTCAACAGCTGCCATTGGCGTGTGACGTCACTTATGACTTGGGCGCTCGCGCGCCGCTCGTCTTTTGTTTCGAACGTGCGCGGCACGTAACTCGAGTATTCGCCGATCGTCATTTGTTACCATGTGACGTTAGCACTACTCGGGCGCTCGCGCGCCGTTCGTCTTTTGTTTGGAACACACGCCGCGCCGCATCCAGCCCGTACAAAGCTGGCCACCTTCCGCGGTGTTATGAAGATTCTGGAACCGCCAAAAGCTGCGCCGCCTTTTGCATCGTGTCTTGATTTGCTAACCGTTTTTTGATTGGAATTTGAACCTTATTGCGTTGTTGACAAGACACGTTTGTCTCACAGGTCTCAGCCGCCGAGGCAGCCTAGAACGCGCGCCGGCTCCATCAACCTCGCGCCGTCGGGCATCTTGCGAGAGTGGCATCTTCAGCGTGGCCAACGAGGAGCTGTGCGCCGCTCACCCGGCCGCGTGCTGCCGCGGCGCCGTGTGCCCGTGCTCGCTGATGGGCTGCCACCGCTGCTGGTGGTGGGCCCGGCTGCCCACTGAGTCGTGAGTATCAATAGAAGTTTATTGAGAAGTGGGAATATACTTCCCACTTATTTTTAAGAAGTGGGAATATAGTTGCCACTCGTTTCTAAGAGGTGGGAATATAGTTCCCGCTCATTTTTAGAGGTGGGAATATAGTTTCCACTTATTTTTAAGAAGTGGGAATATAGTTCCAACTCATTTTAAGAAGTGGGAATATAATTCCCACTCATTTTTAATCTCATTCCCTTGTTTTAAGGTCCAAAAACATTGAATTTTGAACTTACTATTCTTGTTAAAGGATCATGTCAACATTCTGAAACCGTTAATATTCTCGTCAAAGATGATGTCGCTTAATCAAGCCTCTTAAACAAAGTATAACATAAGGACAGATTTAATGACATGATTATTTACGTAAAAAAATTTAGTCTCAAATATTCGATCGACACTTATTATACAGGGTGTCCCGTAATGTAACGTCAAGCCGGAACTGGGTGTTGAGGCAAGTTATGCTGGTTATCAGAAAAATATAAAAAAAAATCTATGTGGCATATTTTCAAAATAATGGGCATTTTAAAAAAATCAAAAATTTCTACTCCAGGTGACGCTCTTTTTACTCGTGTTGCCACAAATCTTCACTTTTTCCAAATTTTTTTGTTGTTATGTAACCCTGAATAATGCTTCTCTAAATTGTTATCAAAATTACAAAACCAGCTGCTCCAGCTTGGATGAAAAAAATACATTATTCCCAAAAACATTTTCAAAATAAAAATTTTGCCTAGTTTAAACTGACTGTACTGAAAAAAAATTGTACTACGCGAGTGTGGCAAGTGACGTCATAATTTGGCGCATTTAGTAGGGATTCCAAAATGGTATAACACTTGGTAAATTCTTGCTGTAATTGTCGACAATTTTTGTTTTTTTGGAAATAATCCCGTTTTTAACTTTATCTACCTTGGTTAAAAATTATTATTCCAAGTGCAGGCAGAGCAGGTAGTAACGGCGCGCACGCACGGGTGACTTTTGTCACAGTATGTCAACTACTAATTACTGTCATGGTGACAAAAGTTTCTGTGACTGACTGTACGGTTGTCAGTCACATAAACTTGAATTTTGGGCACATTAGAATAATAATTTTTAACCAAGGTAGATAAAGTTAAAAACGGGATTATTTCCAAAAAACCAAAAATTGTCGACAATTACAGCAAGAATTTACCAAGTGTTATACCATTTTGGAATCCTTACTAAATGCGCCAAATTATGACGTCACATGCCACACTTGCGTAGTACTTTTTTTTTTCAGTACAGTCAGTTTAAACTAGACAAAATTTTTATTTTGTATTTTTTTTTGGGAATAATGTATTTTTTTTATCCAAGCTGGAGCAGCTGGTTTTGTAATTTTGATAACAATTTAGAGAAGCATTATTCAGGGTTACATAACAAAAAAAAAATTTGGAAAAAGTGAATATTTGTGGCAACACGAGTAAAAAGACCGTCACCTGGAGTAGAAATTTTTGATTTTTTTTAAATGCCCATTATTTTGAAAATATGCCGCATAGATTTTTTTTTATATTTTTCTGATAACCAGCATAACTTGCCTCAACACCCAGTTCCGGCTTGACGTTACATTACGGGACACCCTGTATAATCAAGTAAAGTTTCAACCACACCAACGAGTGCAGATCGCCATCGCCGGCGCGATCAAAGGCCAATGAATGATAGGTCGCGCGACTTATGAACAACCTATGACAGGCCTTTGATCACGCCGTGAATGCGCTGGCGATGGCGATCTGTAGGCGTTGGTGAGGTTGAAGCATTAAACTCTAATCCAAGATCGTTGATCGTCACTTGTTTCTCCATAGAAATCGACTTCGTGCGTGCGTATTTTGTTTTGTCATTGAACTGGAATAAAATGCTCGCGCGTTGATTTTCTTTTGTTTCGAACGTCATTTTTAAATATTATAGCGCCCTTCTGACCCACCGCACTACCAAACCACACTACCAGTAGTGTCGTGGGGAATATTTTTTCCCTTCTGCACTACCAAGCCAGTAGTGTCGTGGGTAACATACATCTTCATTCCCATCGACACTACTACCATAACTAAATGTAAAATTTGTAAAATTTTGGATTGTTTTGCAATAAATTATGTTTATAAAATATGCAACCCTAACCTCTCGGTACAAATTTGCAGTTTGACGGAATTTACTGAAAATAAAATATACTCGTAAAGGTCGCGGGAAGAGCCTGGATGCGGGCAGCGCAGGACCGTGCATTGTGGAAAGCCTTGGAGGAGGCCTTTGTCCAGCAGTGGACGTCATTTGGCTGAAACGAACGAACGAACGAACGAAAATATACCTAATATACCTAAAAGGGCCTAAAATATACCTAAAAGGGCTTATACCCATATAACTTTGCGTGAAAGAAAAACAAAAATTATTTTTACCCGACTGCGGCAAAGCAAAAGGAGGGTTATGATTTTGACAGGATAAGTATGTATGTATGTATGTATGTATGTATGTTCATCTGTTCCCTCGTAACTTCTAAACTACTTATCAGAATTCGACAAATGACATATCATTAGAAGCGTCTTAATTGTCCGCTGGTTATAGGCTATATGGGGTTTCACAAAATCTAATGTGGCGCCCTCTAGCGGACAAACCATACAGAGTAAAAAAATAAAGTTAAGATAAATGTGCCGTGTTTGGTATCATTTGAAAGTGCTTTACTTGTACATTTACCGTAACATGTACATAAGCCCTTTTAGGATATATTTTATTTGCAGTAAATTCCATCAAACTGCAAAATTGCGCAGAGGTTAGTGTTGCATATAAACATAATTTATTACAAAACAATCCAAAATTTTACAAAATTTACATTTAGTTATGGTAGTAGTGTCGATGGGAATGAAGATGTATGGCCCTTAAAAATTACCCACGACACTACTGGCTTGGTAGTGTAGAAGGGAAAAAATATTCCCCACGACACTACTGGTAGTGTGGTTTGGTAGTGCGGTGGGTCAGAAGGGGTCCTGATTAGTAATCAGTTTCAAGTCAAGATTGAGTGAATTTAGCGCCGTAACATTAAGAGTAGGCGCTTACCGTCGATTTTTAGTTGGCCGATAGTTGTGCCCGATTTTAAATTGTATGAAGAATCGGCCAAATCGAATCGGCGTAGTGCCGTACATGCCCATACTGATCATCTGCCTGACTAAACTATCGGCCGACGAAAAATCAACGGTGTGCGCCTACTCTAATACTCGTAATATGTTGAGCCGTATATTCGTTCATGTCACCAAGTTTTTATCTACATCTTTTTATCTTTTGTAAATACTTAAATGCCTCTACTTATCGATGCCAATAAACGTTTCTCTCCCAGCGAACCGGAGCGTTCCTTAGAGTCCAGCTCAACGGACGAAGACCGTGCGGGCCGCGTACGAGTCTGCAGCGCGTGCTTAGCGGCCTACGATCGTCTGCTGCTCCGGCGGCGCGCGCTCGACGACTCGGCTCTCGGCGCCGCGGCCTGCTCGCTGCGCAGCCTCGACGAGCTCGACGACGCGCCCGCCGACACACACGGGGAACAGGTAAGACAGAAAGAACAAAACGTATGGACAAAAACGTGCACTGGTGGACAAAAACGTGCACTGGTGGACAAAAACGTGCGCTGGTGGGCAAAAAGGTACACTGGTGGACAAAAACCTACACTGGAGGACAAAAAGGTACGCTGGTGGACAAGAAGGTATACTGCTGGATAAAAACCTACACTGGTGGACAAAAAGGTACATTGGTGTACAAAATACACTGGGGGACAAAAACGTACACTGCTGGACAAAAGCCTCCCCCAAGGATTTCAGCAAAGACTGGTCCCTTTTCACGTCGGGACATACTTCGTGCGGCGCGTGTCTAGCGGCCTACGATCGTCTGTTGCTCCGGCGGCGCGCGCTCGACGACTCGGCTCTCGGCGCCGCGGCCTGCTCGCTGCGCAGCCTCGACGAGCTCGACGACGCGCCCGCCGACACACACGGGGAACAGGTGAGAAAGAAAGAACAAAACGTACACTGGTGGACAAAAGCATCTTCCAAGGATTTCCACAACAACTGGTCCTTTTTTTACGTCGGGACGTGCTTTCGATGCGGACAGCCGGCCGGTGAAAAAGTATGCCTTCGTTTCAATTGCACTGCTGGACAAAAACCTCCTTCAAGGACTTCTGCAAAGCCTGGTCCTTTTTTACACCGAGAAGTGATTTATAGGGATGACCAGTAGATTACTTTTCTCGCCAGCCATCTTACCCACTAAAACCCGACGGTGTCTATCGCCCAATGAAACAGAGCGCGCGTTATTGTCCTAACTTTGACATTCGGTCACAGCACCGTCACAGGTAACGGCTGCCTACAACAACCAATCCTGCACTGCTCGTATACCGTCGGTAACTAGTTGGGTACGTGGATTGCATTGTTCCCTCTGCTCAGAAGATTGAACCTAATCTCAAAAAATCTTGTGAAAGTTAGACAGCACTACCAGTACTGAGGTGACGTACTGTGCTCCTTATTTTTATAGCGGATTAAAAGCTTGTTTTAATATGATATGGGGAAAATCCCATTAACGTCTACGCACGATCCATCGCACGACACACGTCCACATTGGATCGTACATCTGAGCGCAGTGAATCGTCCCACATGAACCTTGAGGCATGAGAATCCCCAATTTAACACTCCATCTCTCCCACAGACGTACTGGTCCGCATGTCGTCGCGAGGCGGAATCCCTGTCTCCCTTCCTCTGCGGGCGCGCGTCCTGGTCACGTGGCTCCAGCGAAGACTCCTGCCACGTGCTGGCCCGCTGCTGCTGCCGCCCGCCGGCCCCTCGCACCGCCAGCGTCTATACCGACAGCAGCGATGACGTAGCATCCCTAGCCGGCTCAGACAGCCTCTACGCCGACGAGAGACTCCCTCGCCACGTCAGGTCAGCCCAAATATCCAAAATAGTGGAGTATTTCGAAAGGAAAGGCGCGGACTTCACGTGCGAGCGCAGCTTCGGCCGGTCCCGGTTTAAGATGAAGGACCGCGAGTGTACTGTTGATGTCAAACACCGTACCAGACCAGATATAGCTGAGGAGGGCTGCGGCAGGCGATGCGTCGCGCAACAGCGCCTGATGATCTGCGAAGGCGCCGTCAAGTCGAAACTCCCGCTGTTTGATCGGAAGTCGTAGCGCGGGCGACACTAGGCGTAGCTAGTTTTGACCCCGACCGTTTAATTTGATTGTCGGTTTTACTATTGCAAGACAGAGACAATGTGTTTAGCTACGTCACTAAGGAAAACAGTTGACTACTCATCAATAGATGGCGTTGTACGCTGTTAACTCGCAGTGGTAACAGTAAGCAAATATTTTCATAGTTTTAAATCTACACTGACAAATCGATAGAATCAACTTATTTAAGACTTAATTGTTTTTAATATCCAATCGTTTACCTATGTAACTGTAGTGAAATAACTAAACTTAAAAATATTGACTGAAGTGCTGTGCTCGTTGTGAAATTCAATTAATTAGCAATAAATAAAATACAAATTATCTTATTGAACGAATTAGTGTTTAAGGGGTCCTAACGATATTTCTAGTTACGCCTAAGACGTAGTAGTCAGTACGGAAATTTATTTTAATTACGCGTCGCGACCTTTGGTTCGTACGGTGATACGGAGAGCGACGATGTCAGAAGAGGTCTCGTACTCGCTTGAGTAAGGACTTGTGTATTTCAGAAACAGTAGTAGTGAAAAATATTAAAACAATATTATAAATGAGACTAAGACGTTTGCGTATGTTGATATTTTCTTTACTGTTAAATATAATGATGATTCGAATACCAACCTTATTTTATTACATCATCAGATAGTTTATTAAGAACGTACGCAACGTTTCTAAACGAGCCGCGTTATGCTCGAGTGGTCTAACTTCGATTAGTTATAAATCGGGTGTACAAATCGGGTTTTTAAACCTTTAAAGATATAGACACCTATTTAGTAAAATTAAGACTTATTGAGTAATTTATGAGTTAGTTCACTCTGGCATAGCCCGGTTATATTAACGGTTAAAGCAATATTCCCAAGGCTAGTGCCGACACGTCCACGCACGAAGCGTAGCGAACTATCACTAAGTGATCGAAGGACATTACTCGCGACCGAGTACGATTCGACTGAATATTTGTTAAGCATTTCATTATAATTTCGTATAGATTGAGATTATTGTATAAGCGACAGGACCGTTGTGTCGTCCAGTCGTCGGTTTTAGCCTATCCAGCCGAGTTAGTCGATTCTAGTTTAATATGTCGGTCTGAAGCTAGTTTCTTAGATCTCTGACTTTTAACGTCTATTAAAAAAGTATTTTGTTCTTTGTTAGCATCGATATACTTAAATTTACATGTAAATACATATTTTAGGTTAATTTTTTCATTGAAGTTATAATTTATATACAGTATTATATACGTTAGTACTTGCCAGTTCACATTAAGAATGTAAATATGTTTTAAGTTTTATATCGGTCATAATATTTAGTTCTTTTACTAAACACTATGTTTAAGTACTTGTTCTTAATTATATTATAGCTAATAGTTACATATATTTCTTTTTAAGAACTAATGAGAAATTTACTTATACAATGGATAGATTTGGTTTTACTACAGTCATAGTTGAGTTATTTATAAAGTTTTATTTCATATTTACTTTAAATTCATAATATATTGTTTTTTTTTCATATTTTCGAGCCACCATTTTGTATGTATACTAATCGCGAATAAATCGAAATTCGTCCTAATTATTGATGTAAAATTATATTTGTATAAGAGATACGTGTTGCTAGTCCTAACAAAAGTGTGAACACAAGTTTGGACGTCAGTCCGTCGTATAAATAAATTACATTTATATATTTATTCTATTTAACGGTGACGCGATCGACTACGAACCGACGAGTTCAAAATTATATCAGCAGCGGAAGCTGTCGTGACTTATTTAACAAATCAGTGTACAAATATGTGTCAAATCAAACATAACTCGAGAACTATATGCAGAATAACAAAATACTTCTAGCAAGATTTGCGTTTACGAGATCGTAAACATAAATATTGCTAGAACAATGTCTATAATAAAACAAATATTTTTGTAAATACAGTATTACTTATGTATTTAATATTTAAACATCCATATGTATTTACTGATCATGGTTGATTGTTAAAGTCAGGGTATCAAATGTAAATACGGGACGAGAGATCGGCTAGGTCGTAATCCCCACATATAAATACGACACGATATATAAATTCAGTATAATATAAAAATGAGCAGTTTAAACTCAGAAACTGCTACGAACCAGTGCCAAAATAATTCATTTCCATATTTTAAATGAGTATTAAATATGTATATACTGCCTTACGTTACATTATGTACACAATAGTTCGGAATTGGTGTTGAAACATACTTGGGATACCAGTGAGCAATTAAGTATCCGTCCAAGAGAATCCGGTGTAGAGCATTATTCGGTAGCTTTAACGTAGCGCTTGCCTCGACGAGTTGCCAATCTGGACACAAGACTGATCATTTTTCAAGCAGCTTTTGCAAATCTTCAGATTTCATCGCTTAAGTTATCGTTTTCAGCAGCTCACTTACAATAAATCCAACTGAATCTTCCAAATAGATTGATATGAAGTTGTTGTATTGAAAATCTTAGTAGTCTCCGCCAGTCTGCTAGATACCCTGTCTAGTGTAAGTAGTATAAAGCGTCTAGTGAAATTATTTAACGCGATCTACATGTTTTGATTTTGTTGTTACTAATTCCCTTCTAATCTCATATTTAAATATTATATCTATGAATATTTATCGCTTTGTGAAAAGGTATCTGATATACCTCAAGCATTATTGTTGCGTCATATTGTTCGTAAATAATGTTACAAATACACCTATTTATGTTGCTATATGTTAAACAGCAATCGCTTATCGGCGATTCGATACGCTAGTGCAGTCCAACGTAGGAGTCGATAAATTTATGTATAATGATACGAGTAGGGTTAACGCCCGGTCTCTACGATTTAACACAGTTCTAACTCAGATCTTTCATGACGAAAGCTGTAAATATTGTAACAACGAAATTATTAAACGAACAATCTAATCATCCCTCTCACTCATTCAGGCGTCTCCTTATTGAGTGAGAGAAATGAATAGACTTGAAATAAAAAAAACTGTGAGGATTAGCCCCAAGGGTTAATTAATGGTTCCAAAATTTACTAATTTGCATAATTGAGTTTCAAATAATCACCTCCAAAGAAACTATAAGAAATCAATGTAAATAAGCATCTTAGATCGTAGAGGACGAGGCGTTTAGAAATTTAGTATATTATGTACTGTCAGATGTACCTGTAGTGCCCGTTGGAAAGACTAGAAATAGTTAACGCGGCTTGCGCTCGGTTTCGGAATTTGACAACAAACGTTAACAGGCTGTTAACGTTTTGTTAACATGATTGAACCAATCTTATTTGAAATGCGTTCATTCTGAAACCGAGGGTCAAATATGAGGCTGAGAACAATCAGAAATAAGGTGTGTGGAAAAAAAAACTTTGTGGGATGAAACAAATTTTGCTGTTGACTTGTACCTAATGTACCAGCCCTTCAAATTATTTTAACGTAGGTCAGATAGTCGCTATAAGATTATTTTATTAATTTTATTTATATTGCCTGTAATTTATTATGTTTTGATTGAGAATATTAGCAGATACCTTTTATATTAGATAGAGTACCTATCGCTGATGCAGCGAAACAATGAACATTCAGAATCAAGATTCTGTGTGACTGTACCACGACTTGGACACGAATTTTAGTGTGCTTTGCTTCAGCAATTTGAAAAAATCTTACAGCCCAGTCAAAAGCATAAACAGCGCTGGCTAATTTATGCCTTATCAAGTTTTTCATAAGGGATAATTTAGCTTCGCGCTAAATCTTTGTTATTCGCTTTCGCTTATAACGACAACTTAGTAACCAAGCGGTATTCACCGAATGCAAACGAGTTGAAGTGCACTAGCGTAACTAAGCCTCGAGTGCCAACAGATGCGTACTATTAAGATGTTAAACTTGTTATTTTCTACCGACAGGTGTAACTTGTGTCGGCGTCGAGAATGTTTCAGCACTAACTGTCTTGCCAATTATAATAGTTTGCTAAGCGAAGGCAGAGTTACACCGTATTAAGCATATCAGTTCATACCTAGATAGCGACTAGTTAATTTGATAATGTTAAGGTTAGACTTTGTCGCGAGCGAGGAGTTTTGGAATCCAAACTACAGAATCATGTTGCCTCTTTTTTTAATAATTTACAGACGCGTCACCGCGCTGTAATATGCAGATAGCGCCATCTGTTGGTCCAAGCTTTAAGTTTGCAAACAAAACTCCTTGCGCGCGAACGCTCGGTTACGTATAAGTTTCCTTGTACATAATCCTAACGTTCCTCGTTTGTAAGGCACTAACGATTAGAAGTTTTGTTAATACGGTTGTGTCTTTTACATGCCCAGACTTATATTAGTTATAGTTGTGAGCCCTACCAAGGCAGTTAATAATTTGTAAAATGAAGGTGGTATTAAATATATTTTGTTTCAACGCGGCTGTTTCATTAAAAGTAAAAATCTAAACCCTCCATTACGAGATGTAGACTATAAACGCACTTTTAGCCCATAACGAAATAAATATAACTTAAACGTGACTGCCAGCAGTATGTCGCAGATGTGAAATGGATCATTCATTGAAATTAAAATTACACTTCGGAACATTTGTAAGATTATTATTTATTCTTCGGGACAATGTTACTAAAACGTTATTTCTTTTCAATCTGCGCGGTCTTTTCGTGTTTGGAGCTATTCGTACTTCTTGTCTTCTAATGGCCATTTCTAAAAAAAATAACACATTACACAGTAGAAAATAATTTATGTGCCATATGAGTCTACCATAAACATTATTTTGTAAGTTTTCATCGTCCAAAGCCCGGTCTGTGAGCACGTAGAATTTTGTCCAATAACCCCTAGCTACCCATCCTTATCGCTCGCGCGTAATTATATTGCTGTCGCGGCTGTCATTGGACAAAATTCTACGTGCTCACAGACCAGACTATAGCTAGAATCTAGATAGTATCTATGCGAGAAAAAACACCACGTAGAACGACGTAATACGGAAACTATCAACTGTTTAATTAAAAAAAACTTACGCGTCTTTTGTCGTCGATCCTTATACCGCAAGGGCCTTTGTCCTCAACATGGAGTCCCAACATGACGTACAACGGCTTCGCCCACCCCTCTGGGTCTGCTCCTGAAGATACAACAGTGTGGTAAGTATTTATATTGGAAAAACATAACCTTTCTGATGCAGTCTGATAAAAAAGAAGACCTCACGCTGACAAAACGGGTTAGGGTGGCGCTATGTCCTCATATCTGTCCTCTAGTCGCCTCTTATGACATCAACAAGGAAAATGTCTCGGTGTTCGCTATTGATCAACATTCAGTGTCGAACTAACCCCATAAGCAAATTAAATTGCTTAGGGTATGACGTTTTGGGGGGCACCAAAAAGCAACAGACGTGTGAATTGCTAGGGCATCAAGTAGTCTTAAGAACGAAGCAGTAAGCACACTTATCATCCCGGAAACGGATCGTAACCGTATCAACTCGAGGCAGTCAGTATTCTTTGCATGAAATTCTGTACTGCAACGCACACTTATCCGCACCGTAATGTAAACATCTCGCCTCGGCTGACTGCGAGGCGAAAGGTAATACGGTGTCCCTTTCCGGGTTGATAAGTGTGCTAATCCAACCGGCCAATGTGGAAATCATTAGGGGAGGTCTATGTTCAGCAGTGGACGTCCTATGGCTGAAATGATGATGATGAAAGTTAAACGACATTTAGTATGAAAATCCTTCGACGTTACGATGTAGCTCTTCAGTTCGGATTGGAAATCAACTTGGAAATTTTTAGTTGATCGCTGTTGCTCCACGTTAATTATTTGCATAACGCGGAGGGCCGACCCCAAATAAAATGGGAATGGGCCTGGCAAAGAAGCTGTTGCTCCACGTTCTCTCACCTGTCTTGACGGCCACAGCGAACAGCGCGAGCAATAGCGTGCCGCCCAGCACGGAGAACCAGGACACACCGGGCGCGCCGCCCGAGCTGCCGCCGCGTGACGTCGCCGAGTCGCCCTCCTCTAATAGGCGCTTGCGCTCCAACGCTTGCCGACGCGCCTTCTCCTCCGCGCTGGAAGGTTCATTCGTTCCGTAAAGTCCGGTCGCCGAGCATATAGAACTTCGTCCAATGACCCCAAGCTACACATCCTTATCGTTCGTTTCAGCCAAATGACGTCCACTACGGGACAAAGGCATCCCCCAAGGTTTTCCACAATGAACGGTCCTGCTCTGCCCGCATCCAGGCTCTTCCCGCGACCTTTACCAGATCGTCGGTCTACCTAGTAGGCCTGCCCACGCTACGTCTTCCAGCCCATGGTCGCCACTCGAGAACTTTTCTACCCCAACGGCTATGTGCATAGCTCGTAGAGACGAGCATAGCCTGCTCCATTGCCCTTTGGGTGACCTTGAGCCTTCTTATGAGGCCCATAGTTACCATTCGCACGTAATTATATTGCTGTCGCGACTATACGACGGGCGGCCGTAGTGAGTGAGCGAGCGTGACAGCAATTTACACGCAAGCGATAAGGATGGGTAGCTTGGGGTCATTGGACGAAATTCTATATGCTCGGCGACCGGACTTCTACTGCGAACGCGATACGCAATGCACCTGGATGCGGGCAGCGCAGGACCAGACGTTAGGGAAACCGATGCCTTTGTTCAGCAGTGAACGGCGTTATGTTGAAAATAACGATATGTACATTTTGTATGGATAAAAAGGCAGGTAATGCAGGTATTTGACCGAAATCGCACCTGGTGTTAAGTGAGTGCACATTAACATAAACAGCGACATATTGTTGCAATGCTCAAAGAACATAAATTAGCAATTAATAGTAAAGGACGTCTACAGCTGTACAAAGGATTCCTCCAGGGATTTCCACCCGAGCGGTCCTGCGCTGTCTGAATCCAGAGGTGCTCCCGCGACCTTCGGTACTTCGGTAGATTCCCGCGACTCGATTTGTTTACCTTAGAGTCATTCGGGGTAACAGCACGCGGTGGGTAAAAGTACGCAGTGGTCCGATCTCCGACAGGGGTGGGGGTGCCGAGATCTGTGTTTGTAAAATAGAGTGGCGCTACTGTCGCCGTTTAGGAGCCACGCGCCGCGCCGACGCAATCTAAGTACTGGTCGCGACACGTCGCCGAATACTTGTAGCACGCTTAATTCGTTTAATTTTTATGCCACGGAAAAGTGTGCTGTAGTTAAATGGATAGCTCTGTGCCAGTAAGTATACTATATTTCTATTGTTCATTTAATGTAGTTTTGATCTAAGTTTATCATATTCGTAAAAAGTATTTAACGTGTGTGTTGTGAATGATTATTTGGTATATTTGCCGATTGGGGTAAGAGTACGAGATTAATAGTACGCACGCGTACGTTTACCCCCGTTGCGCACTTATACCCCAAATGAAATAAAAATATCAAAAATTGTTCAATCTTTCAGAATACTTACACCAAAATGCCGAGAAATTACATAAGGAATGCCCCTCAGCGAACCCTCATCTCATCTCAGATGACCAAATAATGAAGGCCAATTATTTTGATCTCAAAGTGTGACTATTGCCAATATAAATAATATAATTTAAGACAAGATTTACATTTATAATAGATACAGGGTGGAATTTTGTAATGCCACCTGGAGGGAAAGTACTCTTAGTGATAGATCGCCCGGTGCTTTGTCCTGCTGGAAGCTCTTCTGGAAGGACTGGTCTTTTGTTCTAAACGTCCTGCCAGAAGATTATCGCAAGTCCTGCCCGCAGTACGCAATTTGTACGTGTTTGCTTGCTGGTCCTTCCAGCAGTACGGTGACCTTCAAATTTGAACTCATCCTCACCAGAAGTAGTAAACACTTGGTTAGTGTTTATTAAATAAAAAGTCATGTCGTAGAATCATTTTGTTTAACCAGTATTTTACTTTTCTTAATATATTATAAACTTGTTTATCTTCTTTCAACTTAACTAATAGGAACTATAATAAGGAACTTTAAATTAATTACTTTGGTACGTCACTTTGTATTAGAAATTACACCTATCACTTACAAATACACTACAAATTAAAAACAAAAACAAGAAATAAATTATAAATGTTTGATTAGGCTGGAATACTTCACATTCATTATAATATTATCGCCAAAATGTTGCCGACTCCACGCCCGGCGCGTCAAAATGTGTCGCGCGAGCGCGAACGCGCTGCCCCCGTGTATACTCGTGCGCCATCGGGCTCCGACTAACGGTTAGTCGCATTTTTCGATCTTGGGCACTATTGGGTGAGAGAGAGAGAAACACTCTATTTTTTCGTGTAAATTTGAAATTTGTACAATGTATACTTACGGAACTGTGATCTTTTAATTTTGCGTCCTACCGGAAGTACTTTAAGTCCTGCTGGCAGGACTCCGGGCGATCTATCATTAGTACCTAATGTAGAGGAATCGAACCAACTAAAATTTGTTAAAAATTACACCCTGTATTTTTATTGCATCGATCGTTAGGGTTAAATTTATGGATGAAATCTCTCTAACAAACTTGCTTAAATTAAATGAAAGGAAAACCATGAAATCTTAAATTATTTGAATTACCTATTTACAAAAAATTGTATGGTATGATATTTCGTAAAATTTTCAAAAATCTTTGAATGGAGTTCTCTTTGTTTTCAAAAATTAAGGAACGTTTTATTTGAGTAAAATTTTCTATCTAAAATATTAAGAGTACTTTCCCTCCAGGTGGCATTACAAAATTCCACCCTGTATAATACAAAGAGTTCTTATTTTTTTTTAATGTTATAGTTCTTAAAATGGTATTTACAAGATTAAATAAATATTGATTATTGCCAATCTTAATTGTATTCTCTAAGAAATCTGAATGCGTACGTTTACCCCGCGTGCGTAACTTTACCCTAAGACTTGCGTTTGCGTAATTTTACCCACACATCGGGTCAAGAGTACGCATTGGAAAAGTTTTCAGTTAAGCCTAGGTAGGGCTAAAACTAATTAATCTTGATGGAATTTTTTCTTAAATAGTGAAAATTTATTAAATATTCTACAGATTTAATATCATAACATGCCAATTATATAATTATTTATAGGTCTGGGAGGCCATCAAAAAAAAAGTGCGTGCTCTTGACCCGAATGACCATAATACCTACCCACTTAGGATTTCTACTTTTAGAGGTTTACGGTTACCGGGTGAATTATTATCACTGTAGGTTTAACAAGTGATACCTATCTACCTACTGCGTTATCATGAAAGAATATTCCATCTACACAGGTCCTACTTTATTATAACTCTTAAAAATTCACTTACCAATCGCACATCTTGGAACTTTAACAATTTAGTATTCATAAAATGTTAGAATACATTGTACGGGGTGGCTGATTGATTTCGTTTTACACCACTATGTTTATGTTATCATTTTTCTTCACAATATTTCTCTGGGTTTCCATGACATTGACAAAACTTCTGCCAGAATGACATTTCGACGCCATAATTTGACAATATTCTTCTAAAAAGATCTTTAATCACTTCTTATCATGGAGTTTACACTGAAAAGAAAACGTGGCGTTATTCATCTAGATTCTAGACACAAATTCGCATTGTGAAAAACATGTCCTCCCTTTCAACTACTGCTAGTAAAGATCAATCCCTCTTTACTCCTCTTGTCTCATCCATGCTTCTACCTGCCTCGCAAACGAACCGATGGGAGAGCGTGTTCTACTGCTCAGAGGCTCTCTTCTTTTGCGCTATACTTTAGGTACTTCTAAAATCAAACCCACCAAACCTAGTTCGACGAAATTAACAGAGATGGTAAGACCCAAGGAAAGACAGGATAGAGCAGTTTTTATCCCAATTTGCGAAAGATAGTTGTGGAACTTGCGCGAGATGTGCGCCTTTCTGTGAGAGCCCGTGATTCAGTAGGTAACTAACGCAAAGCCGCAAGCTATATCTAGTAAAGAATGATGAAAAGCTAACCGGCGCGTATTTTGAGCACGTGCACCCAAACGGTGTGCCCTGCTGCTGGTTGCAGCTGTTCTTGACGGCGCTGCGGCAGCCACGCGAGAGCATCTTGTACAGCAGCGCCAGCACGCCGACCCCAATGGCCAGCCCCGCCGCCACCGGCACCCAGTCGCGGTCGTCGCGGTTACTCATCGTATGCGTTGGATACTTCTGAATGGAATAAATCTTTGCCACAAAAACATAGATCATGAGACCGCAGCGTGGTTGGGACGCTGATTTTCAGCGAGCACTTCTGAAGATAGAAAATTGACATTATTTCAAACAACTGCCCTCACTATTGGGACCTTAAGATCGCTTTCTAGAATAGCTACCCTCACTCTTGGGACCTTAAGAAAATCACTTTCTAGAATAGAGTCGAACGCCTAACCGATCAATGCTTTGCTCTACGCAAAAGCATACGTTGCATGGTCAGACTTTTTTTTATACGAAGTAAGTACTCGTCGCGGCTACTCATCGTATGCGTTGAATAAGTAGGTACTTCTGAAGACAGAAAATTGTCAATTTTCCAAATTATTGCAAACATCTGTAATGTTTCTCCTATACCCGTGTCACTGTCGCTTTCTATAGCGATAAGACCGTCTTAACCGTGAAGTTTAAGGTTTTGTTTATCTTCTATAGCCAGTTTAGTGTGGTAAGAGTAGTGAGTAGGCCTACTTTGATTGATACTGAATTCATCATCATCATCATTTCTTCAACCACAGGACGACCACTGCTGAACATAGACGGTAGACCTCCTCCAATGATTTCAGTCACAATATAGTAGGAAGACCCTTCCTACCCAACTCATAAGTTACTCTTTCTTACAGATAAGACTGGAGAACTGTTAGTTATTTATAGGATAACTCACTCACACTCCAGAAAGTAACATTGTAAATTACTTTGTATGCTGTGTAGGCGGTAGTTGGTTTATAATAATGTGGGTTTATATTATCACGTGAATTTCAGACGCGAACTCGTAACATCATTGATTAGGAATTAGTTCACAATAAATTTCCATTCAGCTCTGAGATGTTTTTTTTTTGGATTTTGTACATTGTTTGCTGCAAAATGTCTGTGTCTGTCAGCCTGTCAGTATGAGGTGAACGTGTCATTAATGTCCATGTGACTGTTATTTTTATCCTCTTTACTCTCTGCTTTTATTTTTCCGCGCCTTCTTTCTTGACTCCCGTAACTTTTGATACCCCGTCCCGACCTTGGGCATGGCTTTAGCACATTAGGAAAATTAATAAATTGAAAACACGCACAGCAATGTTGAGTAAGCTATTGCACTCTGAACTCTTTAATCTTAAAAATATTATAAGATCGGTAGCAGTCACAGGACATAGAAATGTGGTAGCAGTAGATACTGCTTATTCTTAGCGACAATTTCTTTCCACTTTATGTGCCACTCTGAGAATCGAACTCACGATTTTCTGGTTCAAAGTGTAAGTGTAACTAGCATTTTCACTAGCAACTCCACGAACTTGCTTATATCTTTCGTTGTATTAAAAGTTTATTTACTTACTTCGTTTAAAATCATCCAACTATCTTCTGACAAGTTTATTTGTAGGTACCTAGTGAGTAAGTAGGTATTCATTGTGATATGTATTGTAAAATTATTATTAAACCGCCTTAGAGCATGTTTTGAGTTTCTACTGAAGAATATAAATTAACAATAGCAGTTAAGATTATAGATAGGTACTTACATAAGTAACTACCTAACCACATTACAACAATACGATACGCGATGGCTACCTAAATTATTTTAAAGAAATGTTTTATGAAAGCTACTGTGTTTCTTAGAATTCTCCCATTTGTGCTGGTTGAAAGAGGTTCACAAAACAAACATGTCGCGAAAGTTTCATGTATGGCCTTCATTGGAACATTTAGAACGTCATTGAGGTCATCCACTTATTTCAGAGAAGTTCAGGGGATTTTTCGTAGTTTTAATCCCAGTGTTACTATAATCTTAACACCAAAAAATTACTTTGAAAGAGATTAAACTAACCTACTAAATACCTAAATGCTACCAAAATCTCATGGTCATTAACAATTTTCATTAGAATATAAAATATATTGCAATGTTAAATTAAGTTCCACATAATTTAATGCATAAGTTTGGAAGAATACCTACGTTTTTTTACCATAGCAAGCCAAGCATGCAATTATAATAAATTCTGTTAAAAACAAAACTAGGCGTAGGTATGCATGTAAGGTAGGGGAGAAGGAGGTAAGATGGGGTGGCGGGTAAGACGGGGTACCCAGCAAAAATCACAGTTTAAACTGACCAATCACGCTTGTTCATACATCGTTCGATGCTCCGCCATGACACCTGTCAGTCGCCCGGCCATTAACATCATAAGTGCACGCGTGTAAAATATATCTTGAAAAAACTGTTTTGCTGCAAATTGCTTGTCATATTTTCTTCTGTTTTGGCACGTGACTATGGTTTGTTTAATAACGCTAGCTGATGATGTGTGGCTGTGATTGATGCTTAAACAAACCTATAATAAGGTAGGCATTGCGTTTTCTAGAGATTGCCGTTTGTTTTTTTTTTCCTTTGAATATTATTAGAAAATGGCTTAGCAGGCAAGATGGGGTAATGACTTCTCCAAAACAACTCCTTCCCCTTCCGGTTACCAAAAAAACCTTTCGTGTTACTAAAAAACGTGGAAAACACAAATTATCACGTCGTCTCCCTACAAACAAGAATTATAAGTCACCGCCCAAAAGAAAAAAAATGCTGAACAGAAGAAAATTGAGAAAGTAGAAACAAAAAAGAGAAAAGAGGAATTGAAAAAACACAGAAGAAAGCTACTACAAAAACTCAAGCAAAAACAGCAAAACGACGAAAAGTTACAGAGACTTCATCTGAAAATGAAAGTGAAGAAGAGGATACACCATGTATGATGCAGTGAAGTATATTCCGCTTCCATTGAGGGGTGGATATCATGCTCACATTGTGGAAGATGGTCACATAATAGCTGTGTGGGAATTGATGACGATGACGACGAAGTCATCCATGTCTGCGAGTTCTGCCACTCCAAATAATTATCTTTTTGCCTGATAGTTTTCATTACCCCATCTTACCTCAGGGGGGTACCCCATCTTACCAGCACCATGGGGCAAGACGGGGTGAAACCCCTTTTTTTCTATGTTTATTTTTTTCCTAAAATGGATAGTTAAAAGTTCCTAATATTGCCAAATATTAAAAGAGTATTAACTAATTGTTAATTAAAAAATAAATATGATTGTCTAACTATGTATATTTTTCTTTTATTGATCTTCAAAGCCTAAGTACCCCATCTTGCCACCCTCTCCCCTACTATGTCCATTATAGCATTATTATTTTGTATTGACACGATTCACTTGGACAGTGCTAAATAAACTGATCTGTAGTTTTAATTTTCTTTTCAATATGGCAACTTAGGTTACGCCTTTTGCTAAGGATGTGCTAGTGCTCTCGAATTATTTCTTTCGAAGTATCGATGAACGTCTGCTTCAATACTTATAAATATAGTTTGTTTTATGTGTCACCAAACACATGATCGTTAAAGGAAATCTAAAAACTTATTGTACCTACATAATATTGTACTTGTTGTATTCTGGCAGTAGGATGCAAGATAGCCAGTTCCTCTGTGTACTTAGTGGATGAGTATTCCACGTGAAGCTCGCGCTTCCACCTTCGACTTCGTCTACATGCATGACTGTACCTACCGGTCTAGTTCTATCATATTCCTAATAATATTTTACCTACCTACAACTGCAGAATTTGGCTAGCCTTGTTTTTTATCCATATGCTATACCTACATGTGCCAGTGAATCCCTAAACTAAAAGTGGCTGGGCCCTACACGTTATTCCCGGAATCACTCGAGCAAGCTATAAGGCTATGCACTATGTCATTAGCGATAGCGACTGCTATAAATTCGTCGTTTAGTCCATCACTAGTGTAATCGGCTGGCCGTCTGTCTGCCAACCAATCGCTATAAGCGGCCACCAATCGCCTTACGTCCGGAGGAACGCGTGTCGCATGGCGATAGATAGAGCGCGCTAAACTCGTTTTATGAAATATTCCTTTATTCCGCCGGCCGGCTTCTCGTAGTTTTTGTTTTTGATTCCAAAGGCAAACATAAGAAGTGTGCGTGTTACGGTGGCTATAGTAACTTTCCTTAGTAATTGGCAGGAATCTGTGTTTCTAAATAAAGAACCCTCTCACTTCTGAAGCTCTTCGGTACGTACAATTATCGTATAAATCGTATTATCTTGGAGTCTGCTGAATATGATTAGAAATCTATGTCTTTGTCCGTGTGGATTAAACTAGATTGGTATTTGTACGATGTTTGGCACATTGTTTTTTTTAACAATTACAAGATTTATTTATACTTAGCACTTTTTTATCTTCTTTACTGTTTCCAGTAGAAATGTATCACGTCATTGTCGGGGAAGTCCCCTTATCGACTCTCCCTATTTTAATTATTAATAAGTATACAATTAACATGAAATGCATATTAAGATATTTTTTACATTAGTTTAACCATCTACCCAGGCCATGGCGATCAGGTCACCTTTCAAATAAAAAAACTGCATCCAAATCGGTCTATTCGTTTGCACTGTTTGCACACCGATCCACTGAGTAACAGACACGTCCAAATGTTACTGACTCTCGCCTTTGGGCCGTCTTTTTTAAAATACTGATTGTTTTTTCATTCAACAAGTTATTTCTTAAATACTAACAAACTAAATTAAAATAGGATACTCTTGTACTAGCTACGGACAAATTAGCATCCGTATACCTAAGTTAAGCCCAATACGGAACTGAATATAAAATTAGTTGTATAAAACACTCAAACAAAATCAATTTAGATATCGAATCGAACCTGGGACCCACTAGGATTCAAGACGATTCACTGCGCCACTATGTTATCGGGCCGTCATTTTTTCCGTCTTTGCAGATTGATGTTGCAGACACAACGGTATCCTTCCGTTTGGCCAAATTACTTTTCGCCAAATTTCACTTCGCAAACAACTTATCGCCAAAGTTTCATTTCCCAAATAAAACTTTTAGCAACTGCACTTTTCGCAACTAATTCATTTGGTCAAATTAACATTTGGCCAAATTTTACTTGGCAAATGTTTATATAGCAAATGTTTTATTTTGCTTGGTCAAATTGACACTTCACATACTTATGAGTACCCACCGTTACCCACAAATTAAAGCATAAGGCACATGGTCATGGTTTTCACAATAATTTTATTTAAAACAGAGAGATTGTAGAAAATAGTATGGTTGCAAAAAGTAGGTATTGTAGAAAATAGTAGGTTAGGTTAGGTTAGAACAGTGACCCTTAATGCGCGTAGGCGAGCGAAGCGTGCCGCGGCAGCGGCCGCCGAGCGCTAGAATCATCTCTATTGTTAATGAATCATTTGGAAATTTCGATAAAAAGAATGAAATATGAAAATTTATTTTATGAAATGAATATTTATTTAATGAAATATGAAAAAAAATATATTAACTACCCACTAAACAAAATAATAACCACAAGCTAATTTGTATTCCATTCTATGCACCAATCAAATTGTTTTGTAAATAGTTTATCGTGAAATATTTTTGCCAAATGAAACATTTGGCAAAACATACTTTGCCAAACAATAATTTGCTAAACAATAATATGCCTAAAACGACATTTGCGAATTAAAAGTTTGCAATTAGTTGTTTTGCCAAATGAGAATTTGCCAAATAAAAATTTGCGAAACGTTGTTTGCGATGTGATAATTTGGGAAACGTTTTTTGGCCAAACATTAGTAATCCAGACACAACCCTAATGGATTTAGGCTGAGTTGGACCACCTAACTCTGACCGTAACTTTAACGATAACCGGTGTTTTTTGTATGGAGTTTGACAGAATTTTGACGTTTGTCAAAGTTAAAGTAAGATGGTGCAACCCAGCCTTAGACTTTATAGCCCTGTATTACTTAGAGCCCACACACACACAGCCCGTTTAACTTTGAGTTTTTTGCTTAATTAAAGATTTTCATTTTAGTAAACCATGTCTGTAAAAAAGAAGAATTTGGACGCCCACTTGGCGGAGATATTCAAGCAGTTCGTAGCAATCAAAGATGAGGACTTCAAGAGGTCCCAGGAAGTATTCAAAAGCGTGTTTGAGGAAGTCAAAGCGAAGATGGGGGAGAAATGCAACTATTTCTCCAAATACAGCGGTCAGGTAAACTTTTTTATTTAACATATTTCTGGTACAAGATAAAATCTAATTTAATGCAAACAATGATACATTTTCACACCATTTGCCCGAGATTTTCGTGCACTCACACGCGTCCTTCAATTATTACCTACATTACATACTTACACGTGTAGCTTATAAAATATATTATATGTTTGCTACTGTGTTGTTGTTATAAAATATGTGGGAAATACATTTATCTTATCTGTCTACCAAAATATAATCAATCATTACTCACCTACCATCATTGTAGGTAGAATCTTGCTTAGTCACAAATCTTGAGAACAAATATGTGTAACAATATACGAAACTTGTTTACAGGTAGGTATATGATTATGTACACTTTCGCGTTCGTTCCATTTCAACTAATTAATTCGTCCAAGCTAATTTTTATACTTATACTACGGCTTGACGTTTCGGCTGCTATGCTGCAGCCGTGATCACAAACAGACTAGCTAGGCGGCTCGTGGCGTTGTCCGTTCGGGCGGACTCGAATATTTTCGACTACCCTCAAATTGTCATCTGTTACATATAATAGTAGTCTTTGTCTGTTACACTGTTCGTGATGTTATCACAACAAATGAAATATTTATTTATTTCAATCGCTTCTCGTGCTATCCTCGTATGATAATGTCGATCATTGAATAGTATTTTTGGATTGTGTAACTCCATCCAATGATTAACTCCTGTTTCTAGAGATGTTCAGCCACAGCGGATTTGCTCGTCTATCGATTTTTAACAGCTGTGATGGTGGTGCGCTTTGTCTATCTAATATACGAACTCCCACAGCTGCAATCGATTTTATATAATCCCGCGGAGTCTGGAAAAGCGTCTTTGGTTAATCGTAGTTTTGATATTTGGCATAACGGAGAATATACAGTCTTGATGGAGAACTTTCTTAGCTGTTCCAATTTTATCTGTTACACCTTTGATGTAACCTAAGAGTAGGCGCACACCGTTGATTTTACGTCGGCCAATAGTTTAGTCGGGCAGTTGATCAGTATGGGCATGTATGGGAGTGCGCACACTACGCCGATTCAATTTGGCCGATTCTTCATACAATTTAAAATCGGGCACAACTATCGGCCAACTAAAAATCAACGGTGTGCGCCTACTCTAAAAATGTTTCTCTATTTCTGTTTACAGGTCCTTTACGCCGGTAGCGTCTACGACGGCATCAAGGTATCCCGTCTGGACGAGTTCGACATGGACATCGTCATCCGCCTGCCCATCAACTACGACAACGGCGAGAACGGCATCATCATCGAGAACGACCAGCCCGGCTTCGTCAAGATGAAAATCATCAACGCCTTCGACAACCTGGACAAGCAACCGGAGTGGGAGAAATGCCACAAAGTCACCAGGGAGTGGAGAGACTCCGAAAAGTATTTCCTTCAGAACAAATTCCGGCAGTGGATGCACGGGACTGTGCAGAAAGCATTGAACGAAATGGACGGGAAGGTGGTCGTGAATGGGGTGACTTACCTGATCAAGTACAAGGAGTCGGGGCCGGCTTACACCCTGAACATCAGGAACGATAAGGGCGACCCGGAGTTCAACCTGGACGTGGATTTGGTTCCGGTCATCAGGTTTATGCTGCCCCGTTGGCCTGAAGGCTATAGGTAAATATTCGTTTTAATAATCTACCTTAATTCAAAGGGTTAATTCTTTTAATAGTGTTTAGGTCAAGTAAAAGGTAGAAAACCTAGTTTTATAGTATACCTAACATGAAAATATTTCTTAAAATAGTGCGAAATTATGTTTAGATTTAATAAGCGGAAACTAATGGATTTTTTTTATCAGGGCCGTTCCCGGTGGCCAGCAAGCCAAAGAATGGCTTGTAGTACCGAAGCCTAACAAAGGATTAAAGGACGAAACCATGAAGAACCGGTGTTGGCGCCTTTCCTTCCAGGACTACGAGAGAGAGCTGATGAAAGGCTGTCAGCAGCTGAAAACTACCATCAGATTGGTAACTCTTTTTCTTAACTTTTAATAGTAGGTATCTGCATTCACAGAGAAAGAGTATTACAGAGTACAGTTCTCAATACTTCTCAACAACGGCTTTTGCGTCATGCGACTAGTTAGCAGCTATGAATAGTACCTACACATGGGGTCAGTCATGGGGTCCGTTGATAAAAATTCCTCAATTTTGGGTATCCAAAACTTCCAAAACTAATCGCCATTTTTAGTATTTTTAAAAATTTATTTATATTAGGGAAACAAACAATTTTGATATACAGACAAATAATCACACAAAAAATAGGACAGAAATCAGCAAAGTTTCCACAGTTAAAATTAATACAGAGTTCGTTCGTTCGTTCGTTTCAGCCAAATGACGTCCACTGCTGGACAAAGGCCTCCTTCAAGGTTTTCCATTGTGGATACAGAGTGCAGACTAAAAATTAATTAAATAGTAATAAATTACCAGCGTGCATATTTATCTACACTTTAGAGTGAGCATCTTTTATTGCATCTTTCAGATCAAAAAACTTCGGGATGCGCTCGAATTGAAAGCTATCGCGAGTTACTACATCAAGACGCTGTTCCTTTGGAAGATTATGAATGAAGATAAGAAGTTTTGGCAGAACAAGATAAGCGTCATGTTCCGCATCATGGTGCAGGAGCTCCGGGACGCCATCAAGGCGAAGAACATCCGCTACTTCTGGCACCAGGACAACAACCTCATTGAGGGCCTGAAGCCCACGCTCCAGAAGGTCTACGTGGATAAACTGACGGAAGTCCTAAACAGCATCGAAGCGAACGACGTCGATAAGATCGTCGCATCCTTACTAACCGTCACCGAGCTGACAGAATTTAAGAAGTCAGAGTTTTACCAAAAAACCGCCGCCGCTGCTGCTGCTAAAGACGTCAGGGACGGAGCTTCCAGCGTAAGTAGACAGAGCTCAGTCGCGAGCAACGCAAGCGGGAACAATTCTCAGTCTAGTCAGGACAGTGTTCCCAAATCTGGTAACAAATCGAAGGTTGACAACGATCTTCTCAAAACTTTGATGGATAAAATCGACGTACTCGTAGACAAGGTCACGTCGCTCGAGGATAGGATGCTGAGGTTGGAAATGCGAAATGGTTTGAAAAAGAATGATACCATAACAATCAACAAGGATATTTTGAGTTTAGTCGCGGACACTACTGCTATGCAGATGGATGATCCAAAGAAAGATTCAACAGTGGATTCCTTAATCGAATTTAACTGATTTATCCAAACTTTTTCCTAAACTAGGTATTTGCTTAATGATATTTTATTGAAGTCTGCGCAAACGAGAGGTTTGGCTACTACGTGTTGAATTTATCATTGAATACTGTAAAACCTAAGTTTCTCGTCTGCGCATTCTTCTGGACTGATGTAATTCATAAGCAATTTTATGATATTTATATTGTAATCATTCCTATGGACTAATTTTATTATTATTTTATCGATTATTGTTGTTACGCATATAAATTAGGCGACAGTTTCAGCTACCCATTGCCGTTTTTGTCTCGTTCTCATCAAATGGCGATTCTTTGCGATAGAACGAGACGACATGACCGGATATGGGTAGCTGGAAGTGTGGCCCGTAGTAGGTCTTTGTGTGTTGTTTTATTTAGATTGTGACTTTAGATTTTCTCGCAGGTGCTCAGTGCTACTAAGCAGTCCGTAGTACGGTGTAAACTTTGACCACAGACATTCACAATTTATGTGACAAAGAAGAAAAATTATCAACTCTGAATGGAACAGTCATGTAGGTAAATTATTTTCAGTACGTCACAATAATTTAATTATTTGAGATAAGAATATATGCAATTTCATTATGATGATAATTCTAAATGTACGAACGATGGTACAAAAAGTTACAGTGGTACGTCATCAATTGTATCTTAATATCACAGGATATAACCAAGCCTTTTATGCATTTATTTTGATAGTTTACTTTGTAGCAACCATAGTTAGTGACCCAAACAAGTTTGCTTTTACAAGCGTTGAATGTTATGATAGTGTATCGATCCTTTGTGTGGGTTGTAACAACGGATGTCAGAACCTAGCTGAACGATTCGTTATAACCGTATTCGATAGATTTTGGTTAATCTCTCCCTGTGAGTACAAATCGGGAAATACGTGAGTCGGTGAGCTCCACGATATTAATTTAATTATTTGATGGTCTCTATTATGTATAGCGTTAGTTTATTATAATAAAAATGAATTTATATTATGTTTTGGATTGTATTTCTACGTACCTGTACCTACTTTAATTCCCATTAATTAATACAAAAACTAGAGGTAAGAATTTGCAACTACACGTGACCTAAGCCTTAATTTCATCAGACCAATTTTATTGAAAGAATGTTTAAAATAAAGGTTTAAGCAAAGGTAAAATAAGACACTCCATAACTTACAATTTCATGTTTACTATATTGATTTGTGTTTTCTTAGAAAATGATATATTACATCAATAAACGCACCATAGAAAAAAATATAATTACACATTTGGTTCAGTATCTGGTTATCTCAAAAGATATCTTTGAAATTTCTTAGTTTTAAAGTAGCCGTAAATAAATTTTGATGTAGGTACATTATATTTCAATGTATCTACCCTCTTGAAATAGCTAGATATTTTACCAAATTATAGATATCTCAAACACTTTTACGTATCACAACAAATTGTTCGTGAATTTTATTGATATAAGTACTTCATAGTGACACAATTTGTTAATAAATAAAAACATTCAGTATAGAAAATGAATGAATACAAAAATAATCTCAGCAGTATTTTTTATTTTAAATAAAAATGAAACTTTCGTTTGAGATATCTATATGATCAGCCGTGAACTACATATACTAACGCAATAATACTAAACACTGGAACATACAAAGTTAGTAGACAGCTCAGACCGGCGTGACGTTGCCGCCGCGCACGATCATAAAAATATTATAGTACGTTATATAATTTTATATTACACTTATACAAACTTAATGTGCAGTCCAAGCTGGTTTTATATAAATTACATACCTAATGACTTCTCTATACTTGAAAAGTTTTCTGCGTGAGTCTATTCTGCTAAAATAAAAGTTTTAAAAGTGCCGACTGAGCAATCCTATGACGTCACGGGACTTCCACGATAAATATACAAAACATTACATAATTCAAAGGCGTTATAAAGCAAAAATAGTCCCACACAAGATATATTTCGATTAAACTTAATTCTTTTAGCTAATAATATGAGATAAGGATAATTATAATAATTATTAATAGTTTAACGCTAATATTATCAGGGAATCTAAATATTCTAGGTATATAATGTATTCAAAATGAAGTGACTAGTGAATGTAAACTGTCGTAAACACATCAATCGACTTTGGTAAGTATGCAATGGAATTGATATGTATACAGTATACTGTATTTATACAATTTTGCTCATCAGTCACTACATTTCGGATACTTGCGTACGTCAGAATGTGGCAACACCTCCAACTGGCGCGGGCAAGTGATCTTTGAAGGAATATAAAGTGAAGCTTGGCACTCCTCTTATACAGGGTTAATTTTAAAACAATTGCCTTTTCATAAAGGATTCTATTCGTGATTGTTAACATCTATTACTATGAGATGAATGACAGTGACAAAAAATATGCCGTTTCAATGAGGGTTACCGTATTTGAGCGTTGGCGCCACTATAGAGTCATCTGTCAATTGCTAGTGCTAAGACAGTGGCGTCAACTGTTGAAGCGGTAGAATGACATCATATTTGCTCACAATAGGATGGCGCCACTGTAGAGTCCTGTTACTCGTCTACTGAACACAAATACGAATAGCCCTCATTTAATTGAGCAGCTATTAATTTCTTTACACTATCACCATTGGTCCCATAGCATAGTTGTTCATCACCATAAGTAGACCTTTCTGATCGTGCATCTGTTTTTAAAATAACCCATAATTACGCATAGGTTGAAGGGAAGCCACATTCGTCAAGAGTGCGCCAACTCGAGCCAAATTCGCACGACCACTCTGGTGACCACACTTCCATATACGAATATGTTCAACTTCAATAATATATTATTATCTAACTACACAATAACATTATATTATATATTTATAAACAGCTACTTGTCAGGCCCTCACATCACACTAGCGCCACATCCGATCCCATTATGCATTAAAAAATAATTACCGATTAATAATTTAGAAGAAAATAAAATTGTTTTAATAAACTTTCAAAAATAATTTAACAGTGTATAAAATGAGCATTGATCTGCAATCACGCGTTAGATATACAATTTTATGATATTGTCTTTCGAATACCATTCAATTTCCAACGTATAGCAAAAATATTTTAAAATTTATTAATGAAATAAACGTAATTGGTATGTTAGTAACAATTATTTGATCACAGAATATTCTTGATATTCTTATATGGAAGTGTACCTTCCTGTTTTCATAGATTGAATCGTAACAATTGCCCAACACACGCGTAAAATAAATTAAAATAAGAAATTTTTCTTCTGCTATGATTTACAGTTCTGTTTCCACCAGTCAACTGTTCAATGTCTTCTCAAATTTAAAAAAAAAAATCTTTTATTGGCTCCAATGGTGCATGATTGGTGCACAGTGATTTTTCCAATGATGTAAAAGAGACATGGTGAAAATCGCCCGATGAAAAGAAAACATTTATTGACAGTTGATTAGAATGGTTTTAATTTTATTTACAGGGTGTTTGGTAAATGGGTATATGAGCCGACACTAGCCCATGTTAACATGGGCATATAATGGTATGGTGAAGTCAGAAATTTGATATCATCATTTTATTTTTTTTAATTTTCATACAAAATATATTTTTTAAAATCCGATTCATATGAAAATTAAAATAATTAAAATGAAGATATCAATTTTCTGATTTCACCATACCATTTATATGCCCATGTTAACATAGGCTAGTGTCGGCTCATATCCCATTTACCTAACACCCTGTATAAATTCCACGATTTAGGACAATGCGTTTTAAGGCGCATATAGCAAGGCGCATATTCGCGGGAACAGCAATAATCGCGCTTGCGTTCATTTGTCAGGGTTTTCAGAAAAGAGAGAAGTGGCAAGATACCGTATAGCAATGCCAATTTTCGCTGTTGTCGGTATTAACCAATGATATTATATAAAAACAAAAGCAGATATGTTATAAGCGCTCGCGCTGTGAATACTCATTTATGCAAACAATTAAGACGCCATGCGCCATGTTCAAGTTAAGAAAGAGAAAGCGATCTTCTTTTGACGTTAGAGCGATAAGGATGCGTGCGCTGCGGACATAGAATAGTTATGCAGAATCGTTAAAACTATAGCTATCTCTTTCATTTGCGTGCTATTTCTATCTTTTGTTTCACTTATCAGTTACATTTGTCAATGTGTGCAATTTGGAATAGCTCGGCACGGATTAAAATCGTAATTTCTATGAACGTAACATATCTATAGTTCTATAATATCATTGGTATTAACAATCAACAGCACATCATAGCGGAATAATTTCCATCGCGATATAGCAAAATCATCATCATCAGGTCACCCAGTCTCCAATTCAGGAACACGACCTCCTCCATTTTACCAGAGGCAAATGGAGGATTTAGTCTACACTTCCCATGTTGGCTAAAGAGTTTGGGGAAGGCAGATACGCAACATAAGGCTTCAAATAAACATGAAATAAATAAATAAGGGTCTTTTTAATTCCAGTCAGTCCGAATGTGAATAGTGAAGTGTGGTGTTTCTAATTTCGGCCATTTATCATCAAAGTTCCAACGATTCTATTTGATGTATTAGGATGTTTTCCGCGCCAGTGTGTCACGTCTGTCTGCAGGCCGGCCCTAGTGCTTTCTCAATCGACATGCAAGAAAAAAGCTTTATATCGCGCGCTCGATAATTGGTCGATTCTATACATTTTCCGCGATCGCAATCTCACCCTGTGCAGCAAGAGAGTAAATTCAAACTATCGGTTTGCCACAGCTAGGCTAAAACAATTGAAGTCTTACGTAAGTCATTAGCAGTCAGCATGCATGACTCAGTTTATTTGTTCTCGCTTCCGTAACTAGACTTTACATAATAATAATTATTAATATCTGTGTAAAGTACGCTTATGTGTTACGAAAACAGGTAATAATAATTTATTGCAAAGCTACATTACGCGCACCGATAGTGTGTTGACCATGTCTTGAAACTTAGACCTTTCTTATTCCTATTGTATTTAAAAAAATCTAGACTATGGGGATCTACCATCATCAATTCCTAAATATGATTTGCTCAAACCGATTTAAATGAGGAATGTCGTTTTTGTGAAAAAATATGGTTTTGTAAGGATAGTTTAGAGAGAAAATCTATACGCTTCGCAAACGTGTACCTGTCAAAAACGCGACGTAAGATTATTTGGTACGTCTGAGAGTTCGAAGCGATTAATTTAAATGTAAAACTAAATTTACTAATTTCTATTCTATTTAAGAACCGAAGCAGCAAATCGACGATAAATAGAAAAACTTGTTGGAACTATATAAGGCCGCTTTCACATTAGGGCGTCAGAAGCGCGATAGTAACGCGGCAGTAGCGGATGCCTTTACATTATAAAAAACGCCGCTGCCGCGCTGTCTATGGTATGAAATGCTATCGTATTTAGCCTTAGGTACCAGTTGGCGCCATTGTAAAGTTCTGTCACTCACTGATTAAGACAATGGCGCATTTACACTCACTAGGGTGGCGCCACTGTAGAGTAAGCTCTTATTACTGTGGCACCAACTGAGTGTTTATTACGAGTTTACACCAAACGTCATCGCTAACAACTGCGAAAAAAATTATAGATGACCTACACTGAACTGTCCCACCAAACTCATTGGCAGGGAGGCGCCACCATCGTTCAACTTTATAGTTTCCCACATGTCAAAAATCGGAACTAGCAATCCGGCGTTGACGGTGGCGCCCCCTGTCAATGTCACGGGTGGCACAGTTTAGTGTATTGAACTATTGAGTCTACAGGGTGTTAGGTAAATGGATATATGAGCCGACACTAGCCCATGTTAACATGGTCATATAAATGGTATGGTGAAGTCAGAAGTCAGAAATCTGACTTCACCATACCATTTATATGACCATGTTAACATGGGCTAGTGTCGGCTCATATACCCATTTACCTAACACCCTGTATACATGAAATGTATGACAGATTGTATCCTATAAAACTAAAATCTTCATAGACTTTTTGACGCACACGCTAGCGTCTTCATAGATTTTTTTGACGCACTTGCTAGCGAGACGTTCGATGCAAAATCGCATCCACACTGTTAAGTATAAAAACGATAGCCCTTACTATCAGCACTTTGTCGCGCTGCTAAAACCGCCTAAATGTGAAAGCGCCCCAATGATACAATGTAGCGACGACGTTCAATTCAAACTCGCATCTACACTGTTGTATAAAAACGATAGCCCTTACTATCAGCACTTTGTCGCGCTGCTAAAACCGCCTAAATGTGAAAGCGCCCCAATGATATCATCGACGCATGTACCAGGCGCTCGGTGGCGTGACTTAGCGCGCGGAGCCCGACTTACTGTGCTGGATGAGCCACTGCAGCGTGATGTCGATGTTGTCCTTCTCCTTGCACGAGATGGAGTAACAGCAGATCTCGCGGTCCTGGATCGCTGATAGGTTCCTGGAAAAAAAAGTTTTTGGATATCTAGATGCCGTTTTTTCTGGACTCCAGACTACATTCTACAAATAATCATCTCCGCTTGATAATTTTATTGTATAATTTTATTAATAAACGGGCGCTGACCCGTTTCGGATGTTCTGCAGGCACCCGTGCAAGTTGTAGCGTAGGTCCTTAGCAAGCTGATGTGGCAATATTTTGGAGGATGCACTCACGCCAAGACCGGTATAATAATATCAGGTGTTGGAGTATGAAATTGCCGTTTTGAAGAGTGAGTATTACAAAAATCATTTCTTACAAACTTTATTACGAAATTATTTTTTTTTGAGAAAACAAACCAAATTTTATAAAGTTTTATCTTTAAAGAATGTTATGTGATTATGTTTAACTTTCAATAAATTTAAAATATAGATATCGTAGAAAAAAAAAAGCTAATGAATATTGAACAAAAATAAAGATGGCAATTTCATACTTTACCCCCTTTAGTGTCTTAATAAAACATCTATTTAAATATTTTAAAATTAAGCTCTTTAAAAAGTAAAACAAACTAACATAAATTATATTTAAAAAAATTCATGTACGTCCTTTTGCGGGAATGGCCTTCCAAATCACGCTAGCCGGTCGACGTCGGCTCCTGCGCAGGCAGAGCGCCAGTCGCCGCCTGGCAGCCGCGCGCATTGTATGTATGTACAGTAATGTACAACTTAGTTTTATTCACAGTAATGTCAACCTAGAAAACTGAGTGTAAACGTATGTACAACAAAGTTCACGTAATAAGTACAGGTTTGTTAGGACGATTCCCGCAGAAGTACATCTGCTTGTTCTGGCTATTGGACAACTTGTAAATTATCTACCTACATAAAATTTGTTAATTTCTCATGTAAGTGACTGTAATGTTTTTAATGAGAAATAAATGTTCTTTAAACCTATATGCAGGGTACATAACATGCAGAATTGACAACCAATGGGGTCGCAAGGTTCTGGAGTGGAAGCCACTTACACCCACAAGGTGGACAGTTGACCTCATTAAGGTTGCAAAATGGTGCTGGATGCCGCCAACCGGTCAATCTGGAAACTTTGGGGAGGGCCCATGTTCAACAGTGGAAGTCATGACGACTCCGGCGGCTGTGGTCTCCGGTGGCTGTGGTCTCCGGCGGCTGTGGTCTCCGGCGGCTGTGGTCTCCACCGGCTGTGGTCTCCACCGGCTGTGGTCTCCACCGGCTGTGGTCTCCACCGGCTGTGGTCTCCGGCGGCTGTGGTCTCCACCGGCTGTGGTCTCCGGCGGCTGTGGTCTCCACCGGCTGTGGTCTCCGGCGGCTGTGGTCTCCACCGGCTGTGGTCTCCGGCGGCTGTGGTCTCCACCGGCTGTGGTCTCCGGCGGCTGTGGTCTCCGGCGGCTGTGGTCTCCGGGTACTCACATGCGCTCGATGAGGCCGTGCTCGTCGAGCGCGTGCGGCAGGTCGCGCTTGTTGCCCAGCACCAGCACCGGGATGCCGGTCAGCTGCTGCTTCTCCAGCAGGCTGTGCAGCTCGTTGCGCGACGCCTCGATCTTGTCCTGGTCCGCCGCGTCCACCATGTACCTGGTACGAGCAGAGTAAATACAAATGAGTGGGTCATCTTCATAGAACTTAGACCATCGATTTATCGTCGGCCGATAATTTAGTCGGGCAGTTGATCAGTATGGACATTTATTCCATACTGATCAACTGCCGATGCCGATTCTTTATACAATTTAAAATCGGGCACACCTATCGGCCAAATAAAAATCGGTAGTCTACGCCTAGTCTAACAAAAGAAAGACCCAGCCCGTCTAGGCCCGCGACCAGATATCTATCTCCAGTGTCAATCTCGCTCACAAAGTGATGCTTATCCTTCTTACATTGGCCTAAAATCAAATAACGATCGCGGTCTCCTCTGTCGCGGCACAAACCATCGCCTCTATACAATAAATCAGTGGTGGATTTACCAGAAGGTTAAGTAGGCTGAAGCCTAGGAAAGCAAAATTTTGGAGCGACTTTGGAGCAATTCTTTTTGTTTGTTGTACAAAAATTCAAAATATTGATTTTTAAAAACAGCATCTTGGCGCCAAACATGTCATTTTGTCCCTGCAATAAGTTCAACATACAATTTTGCACAATTAAAGACCCTGCACTGTCGTATAACAACAGATTTTTTTATTTATGACAAACAGGCTGTGTGCCACCATACAGGTGTTGCGTAAAAACCAAACACCTGTTTTCAATACTGTCTCATTAATTTACTTGTGTTATGGTAATTTTAATACGTACACAATAGCATTAACACCTCGGCAGTACCTCTCCCACATAGAACGGAACCTTGGCTGGCCACCAATATCCCACACCTGTAACAAATTTAAATAACAGGACATTTTAATACCTTTACGAAACTTCAAATATCACTGCGAAATGAGGACCTACTTTAAAAGGAGAATATCATAATCTCATTGTGTTTGTTTGAGAGCAAGATAATGAAAAATATAGTAAATTATTTAGTAAAGTAACAACAAATATAAACATCATATCGCACGTCCTCTAAAAAACTGTCATAACACAGAAAAAGTGTGATTTTAGTTATAAATGCAGTTTTATTCCGCTTTCGATTTCCTATCGATGGAAAAAACAGCCGTATCTGTGGTATGAAAAAAAGATACTAGATGGCGCAAGTGTCAGTTTTCACGGGAGCAGGAATTTGCATGACTCACTCACGAACAGTGTCGTATAGATACTTGCGACGAGTGGACGTGTATTAGTGATCGTGAAAACTGTCATAACCTGTCTTGAGGCTGTATTTTGGGTAAGTTAATTTCAAATTGCATAAATACAATGCGTGCAAAACTGTCATAACACGTAATACTACAGTTTAGTGCATTCATTATTTATTAAAAGTTCGTAATGTTATCCAAAAGAGTGTTACATTGTGGCTTATGGCGTTGTTTTACTCAAAATTTCCAGTAGTTTGTGTTTTTTTTTTGTAGGCAAAACAGATGCATTCTAGGTTGTGTCACTTTTTTCTTTTTATTGAGCAAAAACTTGTGCAAACTGATTAAAAAAAGAGACACGATATAGGTTATGTCTTTTTTATTCATTCCAGTTTTAGATATTTTAAGTTATACGTGCTTGGAATTCTGTAATATTGTAGGTTATGGCCGTTTTGTATCTGACATATCCAATCTTCTTTTCGTTTACTGTTTAGTAACGAAGTGTGTTTCGTGTGTTTATTATGTGTGTGTGTGTGTTTATATTGTGTCAGATTATTATGATAGCTCTTATAATAAACTATAATGTTTATAAATCTAATAGGAACATCAAAAAGTCACATAAAAAGTTTTTCCTTAAGCTAAGGTACACATAATCAGTCATATCCATCTAAATTTAAGGTACTCTCGTAGATTTAATCTTAAATAAACATGAAATTACAATTTTTTGAAAAAAGAGGCATAAAAATTTGGGATGTGGTTGCTCTCTACCAAAATCAGAAGATCCCTTTATTTATTTTCTTTAAGATTTGGTTTACATTTATAAGCCGGTTTAATTTTAATATTTCTAGCGGACAGTTGCTTTTTTCTGATTTGAACTTCCTGAAACACAGTTTGTTTATATGAGTGTTTAATAAAAACTTTAGAGGGTTCACCTTGAATCACCTTGAAAACTTTTATTTACATGGTATGGGTTGCCTTTCTTTTGGCATTGCGTATTATTTGAGCGTACTGGCTGGGGACATAAATTGGTCCAGATCTGAGGTTCTTCTTTATAGATTGTTCAAGCTGTGCTTCAAATTCCAAAAGGAGATGTTTCTGTCTTCTATTATAAGTCAAAATTAAACAACCTGAATTTTACTATGTATAAGCAAACTGGGATCTGATCACACGGAATGCTATCTATGGCATGAAGGTGAAGCTAATCGAGGAGCAGACGAAATCAGAACTTGCGTACTTAATTTCATCGATAAAATTATGAATTTCGGACAATTGTTGTGGACAACAAAAGAATAGATTTATTTTTTCTACGTATATTTTCGCTTTGATAAAGTATGCCAATATTAAATCAATGACCCACAAATACCTTATAACAGGCCACACCCAGAATGAAGGGGATTCAGTTCATTCCACCATAGAAAAATCTATAAAGAAGAACCTCAGTCTGATCTGGACCAATTTATGTCCCCAGCCAGTACGCTCAAATAATACGCAATGCCAAGAAGAAAGGCAACCCATACCATGTAAATGAAATGAGTTTTAAAGATTTTTTCTCTATGAAAAGTTTAGCTGACGATATGGGTTTTAATGCCAAAAATTTAAAAACAGCTGAAATAAAATTTTTCAAGGTGATTCAAGGTGAACCCTCTAAAGTTTTTATTAAACACTCATATAAACAAACTGTGATTCAGGAAGTTCAAATCACAAAAAAGCAACTGTCCGCTAGAAATATTAAAATGAAACCGGCTTATAAATGTAAACCAAATCTTAAAGAAAATAAAAAAGGGCTCTTCTGAGTTTGGTAGAGAGCAACCAAATCCCAAATTTTTATGCCTCTTTTTTCAAAAGTTTGTAATTTCATGTTTATTTAAGATTAAATCTACGAGCGTACCTTAAATTTGAATGGATATGACTGATTATGTGTACCTTAGCTTAAGGAAAAACTTTTTATGTGACTTTTTGATGTTCCTATTAGATTTATAAACGTTATAGCTTATTATAAGAGCTATTATAATAAATAATTCCATTTGCATATATTGTATTATTACATAAATTACAACACCCTAATCAAAAAAAGTGTCATATTATGGGCCATTTTTTATAAATTTAAGGAAAAATCTATATTTTTGCAACCTTTTTTCCAACTTAAAATTTTCTCAAGTAAGTTTAATAAATTGTCCATAAAATTCATATAAAACGATTAAAAATCCATCTACCGAGTGATCATAACATTGTTACGAAGTCAAAAAAAAACTTAAAACCGTTTTTTCTCGAAACACGCTTTTTTATGTTGTGACAGTCTTTTAGAGGACGTGCGATATATTTTGACCCTGTAAAGATTCAAGGTCATCATTATATCCGCATAATCAACAGAAAGCAAATTAATCCTTATCATGAACAGGCCTGTACACCGCAGAATACAAATGTTATCAGTTATGTCATAGGCAAGGCAGATACAGCTACGTACCTTAATCGTGACATTTCCTTTTGTGATTTTCCTCATGTTGAAGCCAACTGTAGGTATCATGTCTTCGCTAAATTGACCGGACTGGAACAAAATAAACATTCAAATTAAATAATGTCACTATAATTAATTTCCTTCCTTCATATAGAACAAATATTATACAGGTTAATATTGATTCCATTACATTATCTCATATTAAAATAAACAATATTATTATTAAACTCATCATGAATGTATCTGTAAATTATGCTGATAGTGCTAAAAATACAGTTAATTGGTTTAAAAAAACTATTATATTTGTTTTTAGAAGGTAAAGGCCTTGCAAACATGCAAAGTTTGAGAGATTGTTAAAACAAATTGAACTGAAATGTTGTAAAGAGAGGTATGTACTTGATAAGTATGTCAATGAACTACAAACTGACATTGAAACACCGATAATGCCAAAACAGGGCTGCATTGTTTGAGTATCGGATAACATATATTTAGAGTGGTATTTCAGATCCAATACATGATATGAAATAAGTAATATACAATCAATGCATATTTTTCACTAGTTCCAATAGTTAAGAAGATTTAACAAGTTTTTTGTCCCATGAGTCAAATGTGACTCACTTATCAGTTCAGATGTGACTCAATAGATTCTTTTGTGATTATCCATTGTATCTCTATGGACAATGAAATTACTAAATTAATACCTCCTAAACGTATGAGAGTAAATGAGTATGGCAGTGGGGTGAATGTTAATGAGAAAAATACTTAAATAAGCCTATTTGTATGTGTTACAGGTACAAGATCAAAGATATAGTAGGGAAGATCCACATAAATGTACATATTTGAGGATAAGATGAGTTTGATCATTATAGTGTACAACTTGGAATAATACAATTTGGAATGTTTCAACCTTCAACGCCCAGTGAAAAGAACCAAACAGATTGTTAATAATGCTCAAAAACAAATCTTGGATTGTTTATACATGCAAGTGTTCTCACTGAAGTAGCCGTAACAGAATAAAATAACGAATAACATGCACATTATATTATGAACAATTGTTTGGCATAGAGGAAAAAATGTTTGTACTATTTAATAGGACTAGTCTATTAATGTTGTGAATGTAAAATTTGTAGGAAAAACTATATACCTATACTTATAATCTGAAGTAAGTGTATAAGTTAACAATTAACAATCAATGATTGAAAACATTGCCAAGGTAATGACTGTCTCATCCAGATTGTTAAAAAGCTGATAACTTTTTTCTTCAAATAATTAAATACAGATCTTGTACAAATCCTGTTAGAATTCAACGTACCAAAGGTGAAAATCATGAAGTAACAAATTTACTTGAATACCCAAGTGTGCAAGCCTTGCAATTGCAAAAAAATGCCTTCAATTAACATTTTTAAATAGTGTTAATAAAATTCTCCAACTCAGTACTTTCACCATACATATTTCAGCAGTAATTAAAGTTATGTAAATGATCAAGGCACTCAGTTGGTAGTCACTTTTATGAATGTTCCTGTTAGATGGTTTATTTAAAACAAAGGTGGGCGACTAAAGTATGTTTTCTGACAAAGAAGACAATGAATATTGTGAACATAAATGCATTCTGTACGGTACTGCTGTGTCATACATAAATTAATGCGAAATTGTCATAAATGTGCAGGGTAGTGTTGAATTGCTACATGCATCCAATACACGCGCAGTCTCCAAAACTTATTCTACAAGATACTTTGGTGCAAAAGCAAGCTCTTAGAATACACAATTTATGTTTTTACGAATACTAACGGCAATGACGTTAACAAAAGTTGTTTTTCCAGAGTACTGCAATCCGACTAAAGTGAGTTCCATTTCTTCCTTCCAAAACAAGCTTTTAATCCAATCGAGGATCCGATTGATTAAAGCCAACATTTTGAAGAATTATCACTGTATTTATTGTAATAAAACGCAAAAATAATGAACGCCTCTCAGAAAATCTGCTGTGAATTTGACAGTTGCCACTTGCCAAATGCGTTTGGTTAGCTGCTACGTTTCTGTGAATCATCTGTCTCCACTTTTAAGCAATTGCCATTAATTATTCAAATGACTGAGCTTAATTAATAATAAATATAAATTTAAGAGTATAACAATTATTGTAAATATGAACAACTTTTTTCTATAAAAGAAAAAAGAATAGTAAATGAGTATTTCTCAAAAAAAATGTACGTAACGAAACGGTAGTAACGAAATAGTAAGGCCATAAGGCTTGATATACATTNACGTGCGATGTGTAAAAAACTCTACAAAAATTTTACCGAAGATACTACTATGTATTCGTAAAAGAGACCTATTTGATATTTTCAGAAAACTTATGATATTTTGATATTTTTACTGGGTCAGATAAAAATATCCGTACCTCAGTCACCTTGCTACTCTATAAGTAAACCTTGATTCCACACGGCTCAGCGGCCCGTCCCCAATTCCAGGGGAGAGTGGGGAAAATAACGCAAACTAATTAAAACGGTGTTAAAGTTCACCCCGGGGGAGTCGTCGAAACTTAAACAAGGACGCCTGTATTTGGATAATACTGCAAATAACTTTTATTATCAAATTGTGAACTATTTGCCACCTGTGCCAATGAGGTCGTTATTGACTCAATTTCCAGCACGTGCTACTTTATTAGTTCACTAGCTTGGCATAAGGTTTCTCAGCGAGAATTTCTGTCCCCATAGAAGATCTTGGGCGCGATCAAAATCACTTGCAGTAGGTAAACTGAAATTGAAGATATAAGGCGGGTTTTAGAATCGCGCTGACCGTTCGCTGATCGTCGGTGCTGACAGATCAATATGTATGTAATTGAAGGGAACGTTCCTGAGTGACGCTGATCGCTCGGCGCCGACCCTTCATACATTTCGGCTGTCAGCGCTGACGGTCAGCGTGCGTCAGCGTGACTCTAAAACCAGCCTAATAGCCCTAGGCTAAGACATTGGGCTCCTGTTGCAACATGCAGGTCACTGGCTCTACCTAAATCGTCCACTGGCTATAGAAGCTCCAAAGCTCCAAACATGAGCATAGTATTAGTAGCTTACCTGACCCAGTCTTCAAGTGAACTGGCTGGGTTATGAATTAACAGTCACTACCAATAGCCACGTAAAAAGGACGACACACTTGTTGAGAACCTATAGATAAATAAACCTGTCTGAACCTGAAACCTGTAAAATCGATATACCTAATGGCGCGACAAACGCTTATCGCAGCGCGCATCCAGGTAGGCCTACAGTAAGGTTACAGTAGGCTGTAAGCAGCGATAAGCGGTTATCACATTTTATCGATTTTGCACACACATATAAAGTATATCACGGCGTGCCCAGCTGGTTTAGATTTCTAAATTACATAAAAGCTTGTCGTATTGAACCAGATTATCATAATTTTTACTCACCGCAAACTTTTTCCTTGTTGCCAACCAAAAATTCTGCTCTGCACGGATCGGTGATGCTTTCCCCGATTTCTAGGTAAAGTGGGAAGTGGGAAAATAACACGAACTAATTAAAACAACGTTAAAGTTTTACCCCCAGAGAGCTCGAAAACTTGCACAAGGGCACATAAATATATTTAACTGAAGGTCAGGTGGGAATGGATCTCACTGACAATTAAGTAAAAACATTCAGCAGAACTAGACTAGAATTATTAAAAATTCTGGAAAACATAATATGATATTATCATCGTTAATTTAACACCGGTATTCACAAACGATGCTTGCGTGAAGCAGCAAATCGAACGCACGTTGAATAGAGCTCTGTGATTGGTTCGTGTGTGACCCTGTGCGTACACGCGCACTGTGAGACCTCATAGTAATGTTTGTGAATACGGGCGTAAGTGTCTTTTAATTTAGGTTTTACCTGCATCATCAATACAAATATCTACTTAGAAAAACGTCATAAGTTCATTGAATCAATTTTAATTGCTAAAAAGTGGCCATCGAGCTGGGTGTTGCTTTAACACAGCCGGTATGTAACAGAAACAGATTTTATAACTTTTTTATCCTAAGTTATAGTTTGCAATCATATGTGAGAAGTAGTGAGGATAACTACTTAAGTAAAAAAACACTAAACTCTTTGCGCTCTCTTAACTTGAATGGTATTATTACGAAAGTTATTGCTGCTTTAAAAATACTTCATAATATCAATATTAAAATTTATAACACTGATAAGTGTACTTCACAACATAATCCATTTCCAAAACATAATGTTCATAATATTATTCAGCTTTGAAAAGGGATCTTACATTAGAAGTGCCCTTGAATTGAATTCCGGGCAGGTATGAAATAAAATTCTCAAATTTCAACATCAACTTTAATGAAATTATTTAAAGTAATAAATACTTACAAAGAATTATGTACACCAACATAGTTTTGTGTTCACAAAAGAAATTCTGATACACATATGGTATGTACTTTGTACGGAAATTCGTAACATCAAGCTATATTTTAATTGGATACGTATAAAATTATAGATAAAAAAATTTTCATACCAAGCATTTTTAATATAACCAAAAAAATTAAAGGACAATGACCAAAAGTGGTCCAAATGTCCACCACCAATGAGACCTATATTGGCTTATAGTCCTTTAAATAGAGATTAACTTTCAGTATGGGACGAAAAAAAAAATAAGCTGTCAGTAAAAAGTTATGGCTGTTTAAAAATTGTAGTAGTTTACGCGCTAATCTCAGGAACTACTGGTCCGATTTGAAAAATCCTTTTTGTTATGGATAGCCTATTTATCAAGGATGGTTTTAAGATAAATAACATCACCCTACAACCAATAGGGGCGGAGCAGTAAAGACAAATGTTGTAAAAATGGGAAATATTATTCGAACAATTTTCACACGTACAAAGTCGTATTCACAGTTAGTATAATATTTAATAAAATTCATCTATAACCCCGCGCCACATGCGACATGACATAACATGCGTAGATTAGTCCAAAATGTGCAATGGATAGAATGATATCAAGAACATTTTCCGGATGAAAAGGTAAAAAACAGACTTTTCATTCAGTCATAACTTTTTACTGACAGCATATTTTTGATTGCGGTTTGGTTATAATGAATCAGTATTTAGTAGGCTATTTTACTACATAGGTCTCGTTAGTGGTGGACATTTGGACCACACTCCATACATTTTTGGTCATTGTCCTTTCAAAAAAAAATTTTTTTTAAATTATAATTTTACGCCAAACTTCAGATAAAGCATATTATAACTGAGTAGGTTGTTACGGTAGTGGGTTGATTGGTGGGTGAATTGAGTATGGGAAACGGGCCTAAAGCACATCTGAAATTAAACTCGCTGACGTTTGACGTAACATTAACACCATCCTTCACTACCACAGAGCCCTACTCAGTTACGCTATATTCTGTAGTATTAATACAAAGCATTTATAAACTGCATGTAATTCCATTTTTACTATCACAATCATAAATACAGCAAGTGTAAGCTTGGAACACAAATCCTTGAAATAAAACTAGCACATACCTTGTAAGTGAACATAAATTATTACATTAGTACCGTTGGAATGTTCTGACACAATTGAAATTTTCAGTCAAACCAAACTGACCTATTGAATTTCATTTGCGTCAGTTACCAAAACACTAACTTTGCGCGCGTCATCATTATTCAGAAGGGAACCACAACAATCATAGTTCACGCCATCAAATAATTTTGGTGGAACAACGTTCAAATTATGTAAATTCGACAGACTTTTAGCCCAAGTACTCAGCGTTTGTGTGTTTTGGATTTGTTTATAAATTATTCGGCGAGTAATCAATTCATCTGGGGGTTCGGGTAATTCGAAAAACAGAAACTAGTTGAATGGGGATAGTTGGGAACTATTATTATTTCTGATTGAGTTTGGAATTACAGGCTCCTTTGTAGTTTAATGGAATAATTTTGTCCGGAATCTATTGCCGTTGAATTTACAGACGACAGCACATCAAACTATACATTTTTGTTGCTGAATAGAATCTATTTCTATGAAATAAGAAACCAGAGTGTTAAGCTAGATATGGTGTCATCTCTACATCAGTAGGCGTATCAAACTAGTTTTGAAACATATTATCATCTTACTTAATTCCTTTTACGTGCTCTTATTTAGAGAGAAGTCTTTGGTTACCCATAAAGTTTGTTACAAATTATAAAACAACAATAATAATATTGAAATACTTTAAATTTGCAATTTGAAATTCGTACCGCGTTCACACTAAAAACTTACTAGTAATTTTCTCAGCGTGCGTAAAGTGCACTAAACTCATATTTCAATGATAACAGCTTTGCTCGTTTATCGCAGTAAGATTATAAGATAACAAATAACCAGAAAGTTTTTGGCAACTGAAACTAAAGAGTAATGATGAAACTGTCATGAGTTTAAAAAGATATATGGCAGCGCTCATGCCAAATGCTCCCATTAAAATTAGTTTACCCACATATTAAAGGACCCAGACTTCGTTATACGAAACAAACTTCAGGCAAATAAACACATAGACCATACAAAATTTAAGATAGATTCTTATTCACACAATAGTCATTTAGTAGTTTTAATATTTACAAGATAATTTTAATACTTTCCATATTTATCTCTTACTATTTACATATTTTTTTACGAATAGAAACAAGAAATAAGAATTAGTTTTGCATACTTTGTTAAAATGTGTGAATTTACTTTGACAAAATTACATTAAAGTCCTGTTTTGATTCCTTAGTTTTACGCTTATTTTACAATTTATCTTATATTTATATCACATTTTTTACATACCTATAGTTATATGTACAGTTTCATAAGTATTTCTAAATTTAATTTCGTCTTTACAAGTTTCTACGCGAAAACAGGGGCGTTTGTTTCTGTCAACACAAAAGTCGTAAATATTAATCTTCATTTTTATATTGAGTGGCCCATTAATATCTTAGGAGAAACGAAATGGTAAACAGGAAAACAGAAAGGCTAATATCGTTTGCGGCTGACGTCGACGATTGGATGAGATTTCTGTAATCCTTTGCTTCGTTTTGAGAAGGATAAGTGTAGGTTCTATCTGTAACAGTTTTGACGTCTTGAGGACACGGCAGCAACTCAACGGGGATTTGAAGGAGAGTTTTCTCGTTTTCCTTCCTTGCCAATTTCGGTTCGTCTGCGTAAGCATCATCTATTTCGTCATGAAATATATCGTCAGAATTATCCGAGTAATCTTTTGTTTGACTCTTGTCGTCAGTTTCGTACAAATTGTTTGAGTTTATCACGCTACGTTCATAGTAGCTGAAGTGTGAATTCAGCACTGGATCGATGGTGAATTTGCAGACGAAATTTTCGAGAGACGTCCGTACTTTGACGCTCTTAGCTTCGTGCCGAAGCTTATGCATCCACGCCAGGTGACAGTCGCAGGTGAATTCATTCCCTGTAACAATCCAAGACTTAATTAAACATCTTAATTGGAGTAATGATGACTTTTGAATCCGATTCGCTGGGACTAATTGATTTTTATTCGTTAATTGAATTCGCTTCTATCTTTCGAGCCAATTATAAAATTAGGCAGATATTAATTTACTCGAGTCTTCACTTCAATCCACTTTTTGAATTATAAAGCTGATTGCGTTAATGAAGTACTTAACTATTGCCTTTTGTTAGTATAAAGTTTATTTAAATTAATATTACCTATTCCTTCAAAGTGCTTTATATTTTTCAAGAACATTTGGATGACAGACAGCAGCTAATCACTTAGAGCAAGGTGACTCATCTATTTATGTAATAAGATCTACTTTTAATAGACTTGAATTGTATAATGAGACTTAGATTTTGATTTATTACAAAGTAAAGATTTATCAAAAAGTACTTAATCTGGTAAATGGCGAATAAATTATTACAAAGTAATCCACATAGCGAATAAACTTACCATCTAAATAGATGTAGCTATTTTGGTTCTTGAGATTATCGTAGACGGGTCGAATGTTGTCGTAAGTGAATCTTCTTAGTTTATTATGCCTAAGATCTAAGGCGGCTAGACCCCTCACCCCTTCGAATAGCCCACCGGTCAAAGTTACCAGCTTGTTGTGACTTAGACTCAACTTTCTCAGTTGCGACAATCCGTCGAACGTCCTTTGCGCCAACATATTAATTTCATTGTAGTCCAGCAACAAAGAATGCAGGTTCCAAAGCTCGATGAACGTGAAGGAATTCAATGTTGCAATTTTATTCCTCCTCAAATCTAACCGTTTGAGATTGGCGAGTCCATCGAAACATTCTTTCCTTAGCTCGCTTATATTATTCCTATCCAACTCTAGCTCTAGCAAGTTCACAAGACTCCTGAATGCTCCGTCTTGTATTACAGTTATATTATTACTAGTAAGGTACAGTTTCTGTAAAGCTGGAAGATCTAAAAATGTCTCTGTCACTAGTTCTTTTATTCTATTCTCGTCTAAGGTGAGAACTGTTAGATTAGGTAGGTTATAAAACGAGTGTTTACTTAAATATATTATTTGATTCTTTGTTAGCGTCATTTCTTGTATTGCTGTTAGATTCGCAAACGTGTAACTGTCTATTTTTGGTATAGAGCTGAATTTTATGCTAAAGTTTTTCAGCTTTCTTGTGTATCTGAATACTTTTGAGGGGACGAAATCTAGTCCGCCGTCTGCTCTTACATTGAAAGCTAATGTTTCTATGTTGGACTGAGAGGTGAAGCTTGTCCATAAAGGGTCAGTTTTTTCAATGCCTCCGTTGAAGACCCAGCATTCAGTTTTGACTGCTTCGTTGATTTCTTGACTGAGCTCGCAGTAGCAGTGTACTTTGGAGTCTCGGTCGTTTATGTCACATATGTTGATGATGGTTGGCATGATCTTCTCTTTTTGTTTTCTTCTGTTGGCGTCAAGGGCTTCTATTGCAAAGAGCAACAGCAGCAGAGTAGCTGGCACCTTCTGGGTCCTCATCACTTCTGCCTGAAACAAAAAGAAAGAACCTTTAGTGTTTAATGAAAATAATAAAATAATTCCTAGTTATTATTTTTGTGAGAAAATCACTTTTTCAATTGTTTTATAGATTGAATAGTCTTGATAGAAGGTAAGAATCAGGTTGATACATAAAAGTAAAGAATCTAGGTATCTTCGTACCGAACAGAATACCAAGAAAAATGATATTTCACAAATTGTTTCTGTTGATGAGCACCTTCATGCTGTATAACGTAGAGCTGGCTAGCTGGAACCGCTATGATAGAACTGTCATTTATATTCAAATGTGATGTTGTCTTTAGCTGTGTAATGGCTATGACGAACTCTCTATTGTAAATATTCTACGTGTGCTTTGATACCTTTGATACCAATATATTTATTATGTTACTACCAACCACTGTGTTTATTGCTCTGTAGCGGACTTAATATATCCCTAACAGGNCATGAAAAGACGTGTAAATTAAATTATTTAGTGCGATGGCCTAGTCAATAATTTATGTAAAACGTTAAAGATTTCCTGGCCTGGACTTGGTATTACATGGATCTCACAACTTTTTACCGTAGAACAACTGAGTTGCGAGACTTGGTTTTTTTGACAAGTATTGTTTTTGATGGGATTTGACTTTACTTGTTAGTAAATCTTGCAACTGAATTTAAGACCAGTTTTCCTCAACCAATTGAGCTGAAATTTGGTATACTAATGTAAGTACGATGACAATGTAATATTATGGTAGGTACCATTGAGCTGGTCTGATGATGGAGTCAGGAGGTGGCCATAGGAACTCCTAAACGGAACGTTGGAAACTCATAGAGTTTGGGTTTGTTGGATTTGTCTTTTTAAGCACATTACTTAGTGATAGTGCTAGATGATGTCCAGATTCCTGATGATGGAGTCAGGAGGTGGCCATAGGAACTCTTAAACGAAACGGCGAAAACTTATCGAGCTTGGGTTTGTTGGATTTGTCTTTTTGAGCACTTTAGTGCTAGATGATGTCCAGATTCCTGATGATGGAGTCAGGAGGTGGCCATAAGAACTCCTAAACGAAACGGCGAAAACTTATCGTGTTTGGGTTCGTTGGATTCGTCTTCCCGAGCACTTTGGTGCTAAATGATGACCAAAGCTCTGAGATTGAGATACAACTAAAAAGTGTAAAATACAATTAGTTATAATTTAAAAAAACTTTTTTAATCACAAGCTTTTATTCTAAAATACAGTTGTACCTACTAAAACGAAAAAAAATATTGTATGCAAGGTTCAAATAATTTCGAAAGCTTGTAGCGCAAACAGAAAAAAAGAGGAATACGTAAATTCCATGCGCGATACAAAGCTTTCGAAATTATTTGAACCTTGTATACAATAGTACAACTGCGTTTATACAAATCTTGTTTTTAAAAAAGTTTTTTTTAATAATATTTTTTTCTGGATGGTGGTAGGGCTTGTTCTAACTCCGCCTGGCTAGCTACCACCATCTACCTAAATAAGTCTGTCGCCGTAATAATGTTATAATAGCATTGTTGTGTTCCGGCAGTTGAAGGTACCTATGTAGCCAGTTCTTCTGTGGTTGAGGATTCCTGGTGAACCTCGCTTCCACCGTCATTCCCTTCGGCCTGATCATCACTTTCCATCAAGTGTCAATAAGAGATTCAGGCAAGAGCTTCCTCGTTGTGGATAAAAAAAACTTAAACTAAACTTCAAAACAAAATTGCCTAAGGTGGGAATCGAACTCACGATGATGTGTAAAGAGCGAAGAGAGTCGTGGGTTCGATTCCCACCTTAGACAATTTGATTTTATCAAGTTATCTAAAATCTTGTGTTGTATGCTATTAACTCTGTTTTCTTTGGGCTTATGCTCTAAAAATTCGCCTTCTATGCATGTTAACTAAACAAAATGTTTTTTAGCTTTAGGTATAGGTACTTAATTATGTAACAATGCCATTAAAATATCCGTAGGTAGGTACTTATAAAACTAAAGAAAATTTAAACGAACCCCATTTTCATTTACAAAAGAACTTTTGTATGTTTTCAACAAGTTTCAACGTAACCTTTCTCCGAATAAAACGATTATATGAACAAAACAATGAAAATTATTTTGAGAACACATTTTGTCTAAAGGTCAAGAAACTCTACAAAGTATTTACAACTTCTATCGAACCTACCTGGTTGTATAAAAAATTAGGCGAGTTAATTGTTAAATACCTACAGCACGTGGCCTGCACATGGCAAGGGCCACCGTGCCATTACCGTTAAAATTTAACCAAAAGTCATCAGTCTCATCTTATACGTGGGACACTATTTNTAATGGCTATGACGAACTCTCTATTGTAAATATTCTACGTGTGCTTTGATACCTTTGATACCAATATATTTATTATGTTACTACCAACCACTGTGTTTATTGCTCTGTAGCGGACTTAATATATCCCTAACAGTTTCTTTGCGTTCGTTTACGTACGTAATATCCTGATAACGTGTGCCATATGAAAATTTTGTGTTACAAGTTTTACGTGTAGAAATATATTTTTCATTTTATCAAAATAATGGCACGGAAATTACGTTCTTATTTCTGTTTGTGCTTGGTGTATTAAACGTGTAGAATACAACCTTTTTTATTTCAAACACAAAAGGAGAGAAGAGGGAAAGAGGAAATAAAAAGGGCAAAGCCCTGGCAAGCAATCATCTGTGCCTAAATATAAATAAATTGTACTTTATAATGTAAAAGAAATTACACCTTAATTTGCTGCTTTCGCAAAAAAATGTATTAATTGTACTTTAAGATGTAATAAAAATACCTATGCCTTAATTTACCAAAGTTTTTGGCCAAAAATTTTATTTTTGAAATAATATCTTCTTTATTTTTAAAATACGTCAAACTTTAGCTGGGTTTCATGATCTTACTTTAACTTTAACAAACGTAAAAATACGTCAAACTCTATACAAAAAACACCGGTAATCGTTATAGGTAATTACCGTTTAAGTTAGGTGGTGCAACTCAGCTTTAGTGCAATTTTCACTGATATTTTTATTTTGAAAAAATATTTTAATTTCAATAAACAACTACCAAAACAATCTCCCATTCCAACCTAAATGTCATGGATACTTTAATCCAAACAAACCCTGTAACTAACCCCCATCATCATCATTTCAGCCACAGGACGTCCACTGCTGAACATAGGCCTCCCCCAATGACTTCCACATCGCACGGTTGGTAGCGGCCTGCATCCAGCGCCTTCCCGCTACCTTTATCAGGTCGTCGGTCCACCTTGTGGGTGGACGTCCCACGCTGCGTTTTCCGGTACGTGGCCTCTGTGCAACTTTGAGCTTCTGTATAAGGCCTATAGTGAGGGGCCACGTTTCCGAGCCATAAGTCATCACAGGTAACACACATTGAACCCCCCCTTCCCCCTTAATTCGACCCTGTCACAAAATCCGCTCTAATTGATGTCTCCTGCCTATAAACAACCGACCTGCCAAATCCAGTTTAATAGGTCAAATTTTAATAGTGATCGAGATTTTGTAATTAGAGTAAGTTAAATAATTAACCTTTGCTTTTATAATGACCTAGATAAAGAGATACAACCAGTACAAACTATTTACAAAAAGAGCTAGTTTTTGACCTAGACATCTTTTGAGTTGTGCTACTCATTAACTTTCTTCTTCCATTTAAATGCCTTTAACTTTCAGATATATTAAGAGACATAAATGATACTCTAAAGCTAGTCTTTGATACAACGATTAAGTTGGGATCCACACAAGAAAATATTTCAAAGTTTTCAGCAAATAAAACGCTTGAATTTGAATAGAAATTTTAGCGTCGTTTCTCAATACGTGCTAAGGAATATCCGGTATTCATTTCCATATATAAAATCCGCTTTTCTCGGGCCATAAATTTATCAATACTCGACATCTTTTGATGCTTCGCCACTTTCCATCGCAAGATATGAGTAGATTATTCTCCTAAAAATATCCTGAAAGATTTACGGCCAGAAACTACAGCAGTGGTACACCCATAAGCTCAAGAGTTTATTTGTTTGGTTGATCGCACTAATCTCAGGAAATACTGGTCCAATTTGATAAAATATTTTTGTGTTGGATAGCTCATTTATCGAGGAAGGTTTTAGGCTATACATATAACATTACCTCACAGCCAATAGGGGCGGAGCGGTAGAGAAAAACATTGCAAAAACGGGAAACATTATTGAAACTACTTTCACGCGTATGAAGTCGCGGGCACAGCTAGTTAAATAAGGGCTCCTTGTCAGGACTACGGAACCCTAAAAATATATCCGGGGCCTTTCCCTGACCGCGACCTCGGAGATTTGGGATGTAATCAGTCATTGGGCTACTTGGAATTCAGATCGATGGAGGAGGGGATTTCCCTTGAAACGTTCCGCCTGAATTTCAGTTTAATGAGATGTTGAACTGAAACAAAGGCAGGGATTCAAGGTACGAGGCTTTTTGTTTGCGTGTATCGAATTTCAGCCTGGTTGCACTGCTTTGAATGAATAAGCAAGAGCAAGCTTTGATTATTTTAAATAAGATATTTCTGGGAATAATTTTTATTCGGAGTTAATGCTTGAAAATATAGGTTTTAATTTCTTTTATGTTTTAATTTGGTAACGGTTTTAATCGAAAAAATGATATCCAAAGTCTTTTAATAAAGTGATGTTTGTAAATAGTTATAATTAATTCATAATGTATGCATTACCTTAACATTTAATAAAAATCACGAAGAAAATCATTGTTTTAAAAAGAAAAACCATTTAACACGAAATTGGATTCCACAAAATTATTTTTAATTATACAATGATAACAACTTAATTTAGAATGAGATTTTAAGAGGAGGTTGAAATAATTCTTGAAAGTGAAGTGACCTTCATTTTCCAGGAATTATTTTATATTGAAGGTTTGAAACGTGTTGATAACCGTAAAACAAATTGAGTTAAGTGTAACGAAGTAAATATTATACATATCACTAGCGGCC